AAGACCATGTGGAATGGATGCATCTCAGAAGGACAAGTTCTGTGTCTAAATGATCTGTTGGTAGCAACTGTAAATGGCTTTGGGATTAGCTGGAAAGGCAAATTCTGGAAGATCTGTGGCCAAGGGAAAAAAAAAAAAAACAAACTAAACATAAGCATATCAGAGTTCAGTAAAAGAAAATATGCTTCTTCCTCATGTTCTGCACAGGACTTGGAAACAAAGCCTAGCAAGCTGGAGGAAGTGGACCTGGACATGGTTCCCATGAGTGTGGAGCTAGAAGAGGAAGCACATGGTTTGGAAGAGTACACCTTCCCCAAGTTTGCAGCTACTTATTTCCAGGGGTCTTCCACACATACCCATATCCGGAGACAGCTGCGGCACCCACTACTCTACCATGATGACAAGGACAATGTGCTGGTATCTTGCTCCTTGTTGTTCATGTTGAACCTGCTCTCTCCACAGCCCTGGCTTTACAGGTCTTATCATCCTTGGGTCGTGGCTCTGGCACAGCCCTAGGAACCAGAGACTGCAGAGCCAAGGAGATAGTCCTGAGCCATAGCATTGAAAGCAGCAGTTCCCATCAGCATTTTTTGGCTATTTGCTGGCAGGCACTTCACACAAACACCTGCCCAGTGGAGGATCTCTGGTCACCTTTGTTCTTGCCCAAAGAGGGAACTCAGGGGTGTGTTTTGACTTCTCCAGACAACCTTTGGGGACAAAAATGGACTGGAGAGAAGAAGCATGAGAGCTTATCCATGTCTCTGCTCTTGTTAGGGTTGCTGGTTTGTGAGATAGGACAGAAGGGGGAGGGCCAGGCCTCCAATAAAGGTAAAGGAAGAAAATGCTCTTAATCTTAACAGGAAGAAATGACATGGAGCCATTGGTCCTGTTGGCATTGTCTGACTGTGCTTTCTTTTACTATAGGCTTCTCTAGCTGTGTGGGTGATCATCCTGAGGTTCATGGGGGACCTGCCAGAGCCAGCAATGTTTGCCAAGAGTGCCACCACCAAGAGCAGCTCCGTGATGACACAGATATATGACACACTTGGCAGGAAAAACCAGGTCCAGTTGAGGAATGACAGCCCAAATATGGTGAGACAAGCAGGCTATATTTGTGTTTTTATTTGCTTTCCTTGGTTTCTGTGCTGTTCTACCAAGAGTGAGAAAAGCAAAGGAACTCTTTCATGCTACTGTACTTGAAATGCCACAAGTGCAAAAGTCCTGGCAGGACACTCAGCTCTTTCTGGCAGGAGAGGAAAAAATAAAAACACCTTCACTTGAGCATCTTTCTGTCCTTAATGAATCATTCTTGCTGTGCATTCACCTGATTTCCTATAATGGTAATGTGTGTTGCAGAGAGAAGGCAGAAGGGATAACAAGATTTCTAAGGGGATTTCATCCCTGAAACTGAAACGGTCATCCAAGCTGACAGGGAAGGTAAGAGGTGGAAATAAATTGTATCCCTTTCTTCTTGCCTGAAACTCTGTCTTCACCTTCTGATAGATATTATGTGAGCAATGTCCAGCTGAGAACTTGTTTCCCTGCCAAGCCAGGGCAGCCCTTTGTGGGATACCTGGTGCAGTGTTCTTTGGATGTGATCCCCTTGTGCACTAATATCATCTGTTCTCTGGCAGAGAACACAAGGAGAAATTTATTACTGAGAATTGTTGGCATTACAAAACAGCTTGCCCAGAGGCCTGAGCAGACTGAGAACCATGTGCTTAGGGCTGTACAGGACAGTACAAGCAAGTTCTCCTAGCCAGGGATAGTACTGTAACAACACATTTAATGAGTTATCTTTAGAGGGAAGGGGGGAATATGGCCTGGTTCTCCTGCACTGAGCAGGAAGAGTTTTAGCCAGTAAGACAGAGAAGGAATGTCTCTCATATATGGGAGAGATTCCTGCTAAGAGGGAAGATTTCTAGAGAACTCTGGGGTTCTACTCTGTTTCTTTCAGGTGACAGAGCAGCTACGAAGTGGAGAAGAGGCTTTCCAAGAGGACATCTCGATCTCTCAGAGACCTATGTCCAACCTAGAAAAAGTACACTTCATTATTGGCAATGCAATTCTGCGTCCTGCCATCAGGTAGGAAATTTGTACCCTCTTCCTAGGGCCAGGTGCCATTGCATCAAGGAAATCCAGCATCCTTTTTCCACAGTCCTGGAGAATGACTCCCTTACTGCCTTTTCTGGTATTTTCCTGTTGCAGTTTAGGCCAGCTGCCTCCATGTATGGTTTTCTGAATATCCCACAGGTATGGAAAGGGGCAGAGCTCAGGGCTGTAAGTCAATTACACTTGAAGGTGGAGCACTGCCCTAGAATGAGGGAGGAGTCACTCAAGAAGAGTAAGAAATACGGAGTTAATGCGTAGTAGGTGGATGAAAGGTTTCCCAATAGCCTCTTTTTGAGCACTCAAGCAATGTCCCCGCATCGGAGATGGTCAAAGGTGTGGACTGCTGAGAGTATCAGACACTAAGGAGAAACCCTGACCACAAGCAGTGTGAGGCTGGACCTTGAGCCAAGCATGGTGTGAGAATACAGCAGAAGCTTGTTGATTCTGAGCTGACCTCATGAATCCTCTCCTTTTTTATCCTAAGCACTTTTCTGTAACAAAGCCCACGGATACAGGCTGTGCCTTGACCTCAGTCATGGGCTGCATTCCTCTCTTCACAGTCACTTTGTTTCAGTCAAGACACCCCCTAAAGAAGATTCTCTGCTGGCAAAAATTGCATTCAATCCATATATCATAGGCTAAGTACCTATACCTTGGTTTGTGTTTCATCAAATGTCCTATGAGGGAACAGAAAACTCATCCAATTTATGCCCTCTCACATCAGATTTGACAAATGTGTGTTCCAAGAGTCTAAAAAAGACAGTTTAATAACAGTTTTATTTGTGTGCAGATTTTTACATCTGTTTCCCTTAGGTCCTTGCTGCAGATAACTTGCATTTTCAGAAGCTTACTCTGAAGCGCTCCTTTCTCCATTTCTGTATAAGATACACTCCAAGTTTGTATATAAATATAAATAAAATATATAAATATGTAAATATATAAATACATAGATCTACACCTAAGCAGGGTGTACCCCATCCTTATCCCCAAATCCACCTACAAGCAGACAGACAAGAGCCATGAGCTACATCCCACATGCTGTAGAGAGCTCAGAGCAAGTTACACATCTAGACTCTTGGACAGCAATGCCATTTCACAGCTGGATGACCCAGCAGTTGTTTTTCCTGCACAGCCCCCTGCTTCTCTCAGAAGTTAATTCAGCATGGGAATTGCACCTGAGTAAGAAGGGGTGGCAAAAGGCTCTAAGCATGCCTGGAGCCTTTTCTATAACAAAGCTATTTCCTGAGGTGCTTTACAGGTGCTGTCTTAGCTGTTGTGGTTGAACCTAGCTCAGGTCTACCTCATCATGCTGCAATCCTGCCAAGCTTGCAGTCTGTAGCCAGAGACAGTTTAGACAGTGAATTATCTGTTGCTCTCACACGTTTTGTTACAGAGATGAGATTTATTGCCAGATTTGCAAACAACTCACAGAAAACAGCAACAGGAACAGCTATGCTCGTGGCTGGATCCTTCTGTCACTTTGCCTTGGCTGCTTTCCTCCTTCAGACACGTTTGTGAAGGTACACTGCTTAACCCTTCCTACTACAGCAGCTCACACACCTCAGCTGAGCTGGTGTCTTGTGTATTTTGATGTTTTGATGCTGACAGCCACATAAAATGTTTGGCTTCCAGAGTAGCTGGTGCTGTGGTTTCAGCATAAACTTTCTCATCTCATATGCTTATCTGGGAATTTAAATAAATTATTGCTGCATTCACATTTAATTTTTTTTCATTACACATCATACAGTCTGGATTCTGTTGTTGATCACAGCTCTCATTTTAGATCTATAATCTGCAAGGGATCTGGCAAATTTTAACCTTCCCAATTTTGTCTTTCCAGCCAAAGACAACCAAAGATGTCTCCAGTTACAACCCTTGTGATTAAATATATTCAGAAGGCCAGTACAAAATCACAGCCCTAAGTTTTATCAGTCCTTACCCTACATCTCTAAGCTCTAAAAAGTCCAATAGATACTTGCAATTTTATATTATTTATTAATTTCCAAGTTAAAATGGATGATAAATCCACTTCACCACAGGATAAAAACTCAACCTGTAGCTCCAACTTGACATCAGGCTTCCTCTTAGATCTGAGAGGCAAACAGGATCCATGGACGTTCATGAAACTTCAGCCTTGCTTTACCAACGCCCCAGTTCAAATAATCAATCTAATCATAAATGCTGCTAAATGGACACTACCTGGAACAAACCAGTCACAAGCCACAGGCATATTTTGACATCAGTCTTCATCCAAATTCTTGGAAGCATGCAGAATTCATGAAAGACATGACCATACCCTACCTCTAGGAATATTTTTAATCATTAAAATAACCAGGTGTATGAGGCATGCTTGCACTAAATACAGACACGTAAATACAAGTCCGTGTCATCCAAGAGCCATATAGACTCCAAAAGCTCAGTTTGTCCCCATTCATCTCTTCAAATGTCCCATCTTAATCATGGACTTCAGTTAATATTGCCAGAGAACTTGGTGGAACTAAAAGTATCAATCATCATTAGACCTAATCTGCCATTAGCCCTCTTCCCAACTCTTCCATTCATATGGCATGCCATAAGACTTCGGGTTGAAAACACTAACTCTTGCTCTAACCTAACCATAAGAATAAAGTCTCCACTACTCAAGTAGTTAAACATGGTGCATAGACTGACACAAATCTTCTCTCCCTTTGGACTGAAAGGTCTGAAGAATGAGTGAAAACTAAGTATCTCAAGCCTCCTTTTAAAACACATTAATTCCAACCCTAATCTTTACTACTTTCTGGTGAACTGAAAGCTAATGGGTTACTGAAATCTAGTTTATCAGTTGCAGAAGGTTTTTAATGTTTTCTGAGGATTAATGTATTCTAACTCCTTCTCCTGCTCTGTGCATGTAGTACCTGTTGAATTTCATCCACCACGGGCCCACGGGCTATGCTCCATACTGTGCTGAGCGTCTGAGACGCACCTACAGCAATGGGGCCCGGACTGAACCTCCCAGCTGGCTGGAACTTCAGGTAGCAACTCTCTTTTGGCTTAATTATATTGATCTGGGGCATTTTGTACTAGTTTTTGTAAGTATACTACTTACTTTGTAGTTATACTGCATTCACTAACCTGTAATAGCAGACATTCCTAAATCAAATAATGGAAATCAATTGCACAAGGGGATTGAAGACCAGCCACCTTGGTCTGGGCAGTTGCTTGGATACACCTCTTCTGGCTATTCAGTTACCCTAAATGCAGAAGAATATGTAAGCAGCAGCAGATGATTTGCAGGTGGTACCTCCATCCACTCAGGAACCACAGGCCAGAAACAACCTCCAGAGGAAAGCTCTTACTATCACTTTTGGAAAGAACTGAGCAAAGCTTATGCTTTTAAAATAAAAGGAAGAAGGGAGTATGATGGTGCTATATTGTCCTCCACTTCCTTTAAATGTCATCCTAGTAACTAAAAATCATGCCCCCCATACCTTTCAAGTAAAGACCTCAGTTCAGTTCCTCCCTAAATCTCAGGGACCCTATTGTTTAACACACATCTTCCTGGGCAGTGTGCTTGCTGCAGGCCATGTCTCCACTGATGCATGTAAGGCTGTTCCCAAAAGTCATCAGGACAAATGTGGCTCATGAAAAGTCTATCAGTTGGCACTGTTATGTGATTATCAGCTCTACTGAGCTGTGAGGAGGAGAAAACTTGAGTCCAGTGCTACTCCAGGGATGTAATTTATATTTACGACTCACCATACTTTGAAGAAACTGTGTGGGTGTTGGTGATTCACTTAAAGATTGTGGACCAGGTTGTACAGGGTGTGTTGCTCTTAGATCTAAAAGCTTACTTCATTCTTCAGAAGAAAGTAAGGTTTGTCCATAATTTTTTTCTCTCATTTAACTCTGACTTCCAGGCAACAAAGCAGAAGAAACCCATTATGTTTAATGTCACCCTGATGAATGGCCAAAGCATCACTGTCCCTGCAGACTCTGCTTCCACTGCCAAAGAGATCTGTCAGTTCATAGCAGATAAAACCAAACTGAAGGATGTCTTTGGGTTTTCGCTCTACATTGCTGTGTTTGATAAGGTAAAGTTTAGAAAAATAGAATGGAAGCTCCCTTCTTTGTCTGTGGAGTTGCTGCTGCCCACCCAGTCTCAAATGAGGACTCCTGAATTCTGGAACACCCTCAACCCAGTCCTGCAGTGAAACTAAATCAGTTCTGAATCCCAGCTGGATCTCAAGCCTGATAATCCTATTCTGCCTTTCTCTTGGCTCATCACTCGGCAGTTCTTGCTGCAGCCCTGTAAGGTTTCCTATGCCACGTAGCTGACTAGTAAAAATACATCCACTTACCACATACAACTTCCATACTCATCTGCTTACCTTTCTGGAGTTTTTCTTCCCGTCAGGAGAGCAGGAGCCTTGTGTTTGTGGTCCTTTGGGCAGACCCGGGCCAGGCATGCCGGTAAACGCAGTGTCCCTTTGCGGCAGGTCTGGTCGCTGGGCGGGGGCCGGGACCACGTCCTGGATGCCATCTCCCAGTGCGAGCAGCTGGTGAAGGAGCGGGGCACGCACGAGCGCCACGCGCCCTGGCGCCTCTACTTCCGCAAGGAGATCTTCACCCCCTGGCACAACTCCCGGGAGGATCCTGTCGGCACTGATCTCATCTACCACCAAGTCATCCGGGGTGTTCGCTTTGGAGAGTACCGCTGTGAGAAGGTGATCTCCTGATTCATCCTCCTAAAGAGACAAAACTATATTAATGCTTCCCACATTAAAAAGCAGGAATATGAACTGAGTTTGTAGTGGATGTGAACAACCCTTCCCTTCTTAATGAACAATCCCTGTGTCCAGGTCATTGTACCAGCTGTCACACTGCCAATTCTAATTAATACTTTTTCCTTCCCTTCAATGTGGGAGCTTGGAGGCATGTCCAAAGGGGCAAATTGGGTCGTACTTTAAAATATCTTTGCTAATAATCTCTCTGATGTTATGATTTTGTGAAGTTCATCCCTCCTCATGCTGCGTGACTGTTAAGTTATCCAGACAAAAACTGAGAAAACCCCATTCCTAAATGCCATTTTAACATCCTTCTAGGCCTCTTTTAATGGATTAATTGTTTCAGGAAGAAGATTTGGTGGAGATAGGTGCAAAATATTGTTATATCCAATTTGGAGATACCATCCACAATGAACTTGTGCAGAAGGTGCTCCATGACTGTATTCCAGTAAAACAGCTGAAGTCCAAGCCCCTGGAAAAGTGGGTGAGCCTTGTAACCTATGCACATGCTAAGGTAAGAGGTTTGTCAGGCACTGCTGGGTAACCACTCTCAAGCACCAGCTTCTGCTTCTTTCACCATTTTTATTTATTAATAGTCTGTAGGGGAAGAAGGAAAACCAGCTCAGTTTGTAGATTCCAAATAGCTCAATAGGTCTGGGGGAGCAGAAAACCTTTCCACTCACAATTCCATATGAAGAGCAAGAGGGATGAATAAAAATGTACATTTAAATCTCTGAATAGAGTCGCTTTTAAGGCTCTATTTTCCATCTGATGACCTAGTCAGGATGGGCATGCAATGAAGTACTGGTTTTGATCTGGAAAGAAGGATTCAGGATTACCTGAATTATTCCACGGCATCCAAGGTGTGTTAGACTTTGAATAGCTCAGATAGGTCAGTGAGGATTTGAGGGAAATTTGGAATCCAGATACCTGTGGGCATGGTTAGCTGCATGTGGGTCCCTGGAGACCATTCCTGATTTACTTTCTCCAAGTTCCCTTGACCCCAGTAACAGCAGAGGATTGTTGGGATCTCTGGGATTGGGCTTGTTCTTTATTGTCTGCAGATCATGCAAACCAGATTTTACTGAGAAAACCTTGTGTGTGTTTTTTTCCTGCAGGCCCCATACACACAGGACCATCTCTCCTCTCAGACTGTGAAGGAGCAACTTGTAGATTTTGCTCGCTTTCAGTGGCCTTTGCTTTTTTCCAGATTCTTTGAAGTCACTAAGTTTTCAGGTAATACCTGGAGCCTGAGAGTAGAGGACAGATAAAAGATGAATAGAAGAAGACTTGTATAGCATTGATAAGGATTTTTTTTCTGTATGTTCAGGACCCAGCTTGCCTAAGAACCACTTCATTATTGCTATAAATTGGAAAGGCATCTGCTTCTTGGATGAGTCAGAAAAGCGGCTCCTTGAGCTGACCTTTCCAGAGATAACTGGCATCCACACCAACAGGTGAGGGCTCCAGAAAGACATGATCTGAAGACGGCATCTCTTCCATTCTCAGAAAGGGTGTACCTTCTCTGCCACCTCCTTAGGTGATTTGATCTGTGCCTGGAAAGGTGGTTTAGTCTAGGTCCGGGAAACAGAAAGGGAAAACTGAGCACCCTGTAAAGGAAATACTGAGAGGACTGGATCCTTCCAGCTGGTGTAAAGTGATCCTGTTCGTCAGAAAGGTGTAAGGAAGCACAGGCAGGCATTAAGACAAGAATGGCCCAAATAACTGACACAGTTAAGCCACTGTCTGTTGTGCATGCTGGAAGATCACATATTTCTTGGGTGTCATGGACCAGAAGAGGATCACTGAGAAAAGCTGTTAACTACTGCTTGCTCATGGCACACATCCTTGCATCAGGTCACTCTGAGAAAAGGGTCTTACATACACAAAAAAGCCCCCTGTGAGGACTGCCAGAGATTTAATTAGTTGTTGAGTTACTCCAAAAGAAGGGTGGTTTTTTTTTTCTATATGAAAGCACTTTTGTACAAAACACGGTGGAATCCAGAGCAAAGCTGAACCACTTCAGTCCTTCATACCTGCCAGCTCGTGGGAAGTAAAATTAGGAACTACCAATATTCACTGTAAGGGAGTTATCTGCAAGGAGATGTGGGTGCCTTGGCTGTGTTTACAGATGGGTCTGTAAGTTCTTCAGATGCTCTGGTAACAAATTGTTCAATAATACATAGGGCAGTGAAATCATTTGGACAGAGCTGCACTCTTATCACACTTCGTGCTGAGGAGTTTGTCCTGACATCTGTAAACAGCATTGTCATTGCTGAACTGGTGGTGATGTTCCTGGAAGGACTGAAGAAAAGATCACAATTTGCTGTGGCAATGCAGGAGAAAAAATCCCAGGGTAAGTCTCAAACTTTTATACAGGGTGTGGAAGAAATCATGAGAGAATCCACAGCACTTGTTTGAACGTACTCAAAGAGGAGAGGGAGAACTTCATCAAGAGTCCTTTTGCTCCAGGGGGTTGCATCAGCACAGCAATGCCAAGCAATGGAATTCAGTAGCTTTGCACACAAATAACCTTTCCTTCCCCTTTTCCTTCTTTATGTATTTTGTTTAGATGATATAGTGTCCAGGGACTCAGTTTGGTTATAGTAGGGCTCTCTGGAAACACTTTGCAGAAGAATTTCACAGAAGCAGTAAACTGGAATTTCCTGTAGAATAGATGTAGCTCAAACAGACATGCACGTTTAAAATGTAAACATTAACTTCAACTCCTTACAACTACCGAGTTCCTTTCCATGCTTTGCTGCCAGTCTAGACACAAAGTCAGCCTTCATGTGAATCAAACTGAGTTCTGTCATTGCCCTCAGTGGATCAAAGTCAGGGTGTCAGAGGAAACAGAAGTGATTTCTTTGAAGTGTTACTGGAAAATTAGCCATATTTACACAAATCACTTTCTACTGCTAACTGAATTCAGGCCTTCAAAATACAATTTCCTTGTCTTTCACATTGCAATCCCTTTGCATTTTCTCAGACTGTCAAGCCTGAACAGTACCCCCTTATTCTGTTTTCCAGAAGATCCTGGCATCCTGTCCTTCAAGAAGGGAGACTTGCTAATCTTCACCGAAGACAAAAGGCTGGATGCAGACTCTGGCTGGATCTGTGCCCAGAATGAAAGGACAGGCAAAACAGGGAATGTATTTTTGGAAGACATCTACATCATTCCTTCCCTCACAAAACCCTCTAGTCAAGTGCTGGTAAGGAAAGCTAAGCATTCCATGTGAAAAGACTGGAAGAAGATAAAAATGTTAATATGCTTCAATTTATAACTGGAAGATAATTGTCCCTCCAAAGTTAGACAAGTTCTATACCTCCCATTGAAACAAAGCATTTAATTCTGTCCTCTCTGAAAACAAAGCTAAGTCTAGCCCAGACTTTAAGGAGAAGACTGCAGCTGCACAAAGGCAATGCCTTTAAAAACCCCCAAAATCCATTCTATTCACCATGGGAGATTTCAGTGCCTGCAACTGGTAGCAATTAAGGGGTATGGGTGTGCAGTTTAATTTTCCTGCATTCACTCTGGACTTGAGTGGTAATCACATAATGCCTCAAGAGAACCTCTGAGTGCATCAGGTAACTTAAAGAGAATATGGTCTTTTAGGGAGCCAAGGTTTCTCATTAATGACTCTGCTAGTAAGTTTTGTCTTTAGTTATGAGGATTCAGTATTTTGGACCCTGTGCTAACAGATAAAAAGCAGAAAAACTGGTGGCAAAACACACTAGAGAGAAACAGATGCATTGTAAAACATGTGTTGTGCTTTGGATAATCACATACATTTTAATGTCCACTACTGTTATGTCTGTATAAATTGCTTCTTTGAGTCAGCTGTTCCCAGCTCATTGAGTCTCTGGAGATGCTGCTTTTGAGACAGGAGGTCTCGGGCAGCACACAGGGCTACCTGCTGAGTAATCCCTGACAGTACATGCAGACACCTGTCTCCATGTGGCATCTCTGTGTGGCTGTGTTGTTCCAGAGTTTGCTGATGATGTCTCCAGACCAGAGGAGGACAGCTTCACAGAACTCCTTCATGGAGGAACCTGAGGAAGAGGATATCAAGGTGAAGCCTTACACCCTGGAGGAGTTCTCCTACGAACACTTCAGGTGAAGCTCTCTGTGTAGAGTATGCCCTAGAAAAGGTCTTGTTGATCAGTAATCCTTAAAGCCTATTATGTAATGGCATCTCCAACTTCTGATTGTGTTTCTTCTTTTTGTTCCCTGTAATTGTGACTTTGGATACAGAGATTCTGGCCCATGGCCTATTGTATCTTAAGTCTGCAGAAATGCGAAGGGGAGAACTGACTGGGCTGGCTTCTTCCAGCAGGCTCTATTCTTACTTCTCACTCTTTCTTCAGCACTTACCCACTAGTGAGGATATACAACACCTCAGGCTTCAGAAAGTAAAGGGAAAATTAGTTTTCTAAAAACCCCTCTTTTTTTTATTTTTGCAAGTCTCCTATCTTCTGGATATACAGGAAACTACATCTCCCTGCTCTTGTTGATCTGCAGAATCAAAGGAGATCTGAGATCACTATCTTGTGAAAGAACAGATCTAGAGATACGACTTTATGATAATGACCTCCTTTGTTCATAGCAATACTGATCCAGTAATTTTGTGTTGCTTACCCCTGTCTTCATTCAGGACTCCTGAGAAGGAATCCATCAGCAAAGCTGTTCTCCAGAAATCCCGTGGGCATAGTCAACTGTGGGCACATTCCAAGGAGCCTCTGAAACAGCCATTGCTGAAGAGAGCATGCACAGACCCTGATCTTCGGGATTTGGCCTGTCAGGCCTTCATTGATATCCTTTCTCTCCTCTCTTTTGGCATCTAAAGGGGAAGGAAGAGTTAGCTAGGTCGATGAAATCATGAAATTACTTCTACTGAGATATCTCAGCCACCTTACAAGGGATACATTCGCATAAAGATGGAGTGGATCAAATCTATTTCCCTTGTCTATAGGGAAATGTTCTAATTTCCTCCCAGTACTCCACAGCTACTGATGGCTCACTAAACTAATAACATGGCTTTAGGAGTGAGAGAGATTTACTGCATATGCCCAGAGAATGCAGCTGCTAGCACAGTACAAATCACAGCCAAGCAGCAGCTGCTGCAAAGGGAAAGAGGGTAAGGGACAGACAGGGAACATGCTCCAGACCTTCCTCCCAGTATTAGCCACTTAGACATCAACAAAGTCACTAAAATGTTAGGATCCAATGAAACTTCCCATTTGCCTTCCAAATTTTCTGCTTTTCTCCTTAGCAGCACGTTCACCCATCATGAAATTCATGGGGGACTACCCCTCAAAACAGGCACACTCCTCCGTGGAAGTCACTGACCAGATATTTGTGCCAGCTATCCAGGAGGAGGTCCTGCGAGATGAGATTTACTGTCAGATTATGAAGCAACTGACTGACAACAGAAACAGGTATTTACCTGGGTGCAAACACCCGGCTCCTGCAGAGCCAGGCCTCAAGTGCATGCATCAGGAACCCTTGCTGCATTTGTGATGCAGTGGGGGCAGGGAGAAGGATAAACAAATGTTGGAGTAACAGCTTCCCTTCTCCCTTTTGCTTACCTTTGTGGAGTGCTCAGGACCCTGGCAGGGAGAGGCCAGAGAGCACCATCAATCATCTCCCCTGAGCTGCTGCTTTGCTCCCATCAGCATTCCATGCTCATCTCCTTGTGGTGTGAGGCAGGCAAGGTGTCACTGAGGCACTCCTGCTCCCCAAGCAGTCTGTAGGGGAAACATGGCACTGCATAGTCCTTGCATCCCTTCAGTGACTGCCCTGGCAACTCTCCATTTAAATTTCCCAATGGCAGCATTCCCCTCTCACAAAAACATAGTTCACACTGGACTTTTACCACCAGTGAATAAATACTTTTGAGTAGTTTTATTAATTAGGTTACAAAACTGTCTTGCAGAACAGATTGGTTACAGAGGCACCTGCCCACAAGAAAGTCTCTGAAACAGACTGGTGTTTTCTTCCCCACTCACAAAATGATAATTTTATCTACTTCCAGGGAAACTGAATTGCAAAAAGCAGCTTAAAATAATATTAATTATTAACAAAATTGTTTGTCCATTTCTGGATGCATTCTGTTTGTTTATTTATTTTCTTTCTTCTGTTCCACAAGTATTGCACGTAGTGGAATTTTCATCATGTGTGTCACTGTTGAATAGTAAATTCCCTTGCAGGCAGTGAATCTTACAGGCTATTTGATGCATAGTCTGTAACCATGGTGCCAGTGCCATGCCTGATGTATTCCACCAATGTGAGTGGGATCACTGATGTGGAAAAAACAATGCTTGAAAGCTGGCTATTTGCATACACTTTCATTAGAACAGCCAGAGCAACAAATCTTTCATCCTTCCCAGGCTGCTGTGTTGTGGACCATGTCCTGCTCTCACATAGACACAAACACCACTCTATAGAGTATAAATGAGATTAAAATAGTCTGTCTTCATCTGCAAAATTAGAACAGCAAGTGGGAATAAAGAAACCAGAACCTCTTTATTCAGTGAAGTCTGATGCCCTTTCAGAGTCAGACATGCTGACTTTCCCAACCAAAACCACTTCACACCAGTGAGCATTTCAGAGCAATCCTTGGACACAGCTGAAGTGTGTTCTGCTCCTGGCTTAGAGGTAGAATGACTGACCACCTCATGGCTGCAGAGCCCTTCTTAATGGTGAGGGCAAGGTGCCAGAAGAGCTTCAACTGGCAGATTTCACAAATGCAGAGGCTGGAAGAACTGGATTTCCACCTGAAAGGTAGTACCAGCTTGATCTGAAACATTTAAGAACTGCATCTACCTCACTACATAATGCTACCAGCATGTTCATTTTTCAGAACAGGAGTACATGTAAGGGGAAGCCAGTGCATACAAAGTGTTCATGCCCTGAGCAAAGCTGGCCAGTGCAGAGGGCAGGTGAATTCATCCACTAAGAAACTAGGATCTGAATACATATGAGCTCGAACACCAAATCAGCAGTGGCTTTCCAAGAGGATGGTACCAGGGTCACTGCTGCTAAGATGTCTGCTAAACTGGAATTTATGTTTATCCATGAGATCTGCATCTGTCATGAGTATTTCTCATGCAGAACTTTGCAATGTCTTCACATACAGGCTGTGGTTGTTGCACAGCAAATGAATGCCAGAGCCTGGGTGAAGGCTCTGTTGATTTGCAGCTCTCTGCACAATGGGACCACAATGGGAGAGTATTTCTCTTCCCTGTAGCTGGTGTGTGGTCGAACAGAATTATATGTGTCTGTAGCAGAACTGTTGGCTTTGTGTTCTCAGGTACAGCGAGACCAAGGGCTGGCAGCTCCTCTGGCTCTGCACTGGCCTCTTCCCACCCAGCAAGTCACTGCTCAAACACGCCCAGAAGTTCATAGAGACACGCCAGAAAGAAACACTGGCCCCAGAGTGCCGTCGGAGGATTCAGACGGTAATGAGGTAAATAATCTGGCGTATAACCAGCTCAAAGTGTTCCAATAGCAATAATCAGGTCCCAAAAAACACATGGGCTAAAACAGTGTGACTGTCACTTTCCTTTTTCTCTTTACATCTTGGGGTTTTTTTTAAGTGATCGTTATTTTTAACTTTCTTTATGGACTTTGAACCATTGAAGAGAGGTCTATGTCACAGTTTCACTTTTTTCTTTCAGAAAAAACATTTTAATTTTTTTTTTTAAACAGCATTTTAAAAAGTTCATCCCCACATATAATCACTTGACTCCCAGAGCTGGGTATTTCAAACATCCTAAAGGGCATGCAGCTTGGAATGATGTCACTGATGATAACCTGACCTTACTTTTCTTTGTTGAGACAGCATGTCCTTGTTGAAAGGATCAGTACAAGCAACTCCTATTCTTTGAAAAAACCAAAATGAACAAAGTCCTGACTTCTACCAGGCTGGTCACAGCAAGGCACTTCTCCATCCACTTGGCAGGAGTGTTCAGCCCAGGCTGAAGCAACAAGACCACCAAAAAAATGCTTCTTGAGCTTCCAAATGAGTTGTCGTTCTAAGGGACATGACACAACCAGAGAGAGGGGAAGGGCTAACAGGATTTCAGGAAGGATCAACTGAACTGTAGGGAAAAGATTTCCCTAGATTCCTCCAAGCACTGGAATAACTCAGCTTGCTCCTCTGAGAACAAAGCTTTGGCATCGAGGTTGACTCCAGCCTTCTCCCTTTTGATGGTGTTGTGATTTACCACTTGCCTGCCACAGACCTCATCAGTAAAGAATCTGCCCAATGATTTCTCCTTCCAGCTCCTGCATTTTTCCCTTTCCCTCAGGCTGGGCCACGTGTTTGGTCTGTGAGCCCCACGGGTCAGGCTCTAGGGGAACACTAACACAGTGGATATCCCCCTTGCAGTGGATGGGGTTTGGCACTGCTGGGGAAATGTCACCACACACTGAACTCGCTTTTGAAGTGTCTGAAAAATGCATGGCAAGGAATGCTATTCATTGTTTATTTCTATGGAGAAGACTTAAAAATTCCTGCCTCCCTATATCATGTGCTATTCATGCCCTGTTGAGCTGTACAGAGCTTCTTTACAGGGAGCAAATAGGGAGGGGAAAGCAGAATGGGCTGCTTGGAAGGAGCATTTCATTTGCTAAACTGTCCCAGGTCTGAAGCCTGGGGGATGGGAAGTGAACAAAGACAAATCTTGTCTTCTAAGAGTGGTTCTTTTCCTAAGATTAAACTTGCATCTGCTTAGGATAGAATAGAATAAACTATTTCAGCTGGAAGGGATCTTCAACAATCATCTAGTCCAACTTCTCCCTGTAAGTAACCTGGTCTCTTTGGACAGGGTAGAGCAGGCAGCTCAAAGGATTGACCTAAATACACACAGGGGAACCCAACTGAGCCCTTGGGTACACACCTTATCTGCCATAAACCACTTTACAGCTTCACCCCCAGAATCCTGGCCAGGGAATCACCCTGATGAGTGTTAAGCAGATCTCACTTTGGCAGTGAATTCCTAGCTCAGGCTGCATGGAGAGGTGGGTAGCCCTATGCCAAAAACTGCTGCAATTCCTTGAGCTCCCAGGGCCTCCCTCTGATGCCAGGTCATGAACAGGTGACTGAGTAGGGCAGGTCCACACTTTGTACAGTGCCTGCACAGTACAAAGCACATATTGTTCAGCTTGGTCACAGTCAAGTTTTCCTTCTCCAAATGGAAATGATCCTTTATTGAATGGAAAAACAATTAGTTTTCAAATCCACACAATTAAAGCTTGGATCCAGATTAACCTTCTCCTGAGAGACAGACCCCATGTGAGAGGCCCATAAGCTATGGTGTTCAAAATACCTGAACAGCCTGCTCTGTGCCACTGAGGATAGGAACTTACCAGCCCCAGGAGGTAATTTGCTAGGTATGTTCTAACTTTAACTATGTCAAGGTTTTTGCATGACTGAGACTTCAGAGCCAGTTCCTTTGCTGTAAAAGGCAGTTCTGCTCTAAGGTCTAATTTCAAAGAACTGGGTTTGTACAGTTTAAGCACCTCCTAAGGCAGTGATTGCACTCCAACTCTCCTATAAAATGCTTTCAAGCGCCCTCCAGATCTTTTTGATACTTGGGCTCCAAGTATCAAAAAGTATCCAAATACTTATCTTTTTGCTGATGCAGGAATTAAGTAAAATGTATTTCTCCTTGTAGCCATCATATTCACATCAGTAAGGAAAAATGCTGCTGAATCCATAGAAGAGGCAATGGTGCTGGCTAGGAAGGTGCCTTCTTCATGCAACCTCCTTGCAGAGCAGAACAGACTTTCACTTTACATGCTAATAAGACCCTCAGTTTCTTGCTGTTAATACACTGAATTTGCACGGGGGTGGAGGTCCATTGGAGCCTGCCCCATCACAGAGTACTGGCATTTTGGAGGGTGCCTGCTGTTTGGCTGGAATACTGTTGTTCATTTCCTCAGTGATTAAACTGGTGTCTCTTATGATGGTGGTGGCATTTTCCAGGAGTGGCTGCAGGAAGTGGGCCCCTCATCCTGTGGAGGTTGAGGCCATCTTACAGAACAACACTAAGATCTCACATAAGATTTGCTTCCCCAACGAAACAGAACTGGTGAGCACTTGTTTTCCCAGCCTTGACCATTATTCCAGCCATGACATGCTCATCCAGGAGCATGTGCGAAGACATTCAATATTCTTATTTCTTCCTGCCCTCTGTGTAACAAGAGTCTTGTTCTCTCATAGACATTTGATGTGGGAACAAACACCAAAATCCAGACTCTGTGTCAGAACATTGCTTCCAAATTGCAGCTGCACTCCTGGGAAGGTTTCAGCCTCTTTGTGAAGATTGCAGACAAGGTAACTGCTTCTTGACTCTGGCAGGGTAGCCAGGCTGCCTCTCCTCTCTTAATATGTATTTTTTACCAGGTAGTATGTATTTATTTACCAGGCCACCTAAACAACCATACGAAGCCAAGGAGCAGAGCAGGTGATTAATGCTTCTGTCCTACTGAGGGGATACAACCTTAACTTGAACCTTTAGCACCTGACAATTACTTTCAGTCTCTTGGAGGGGCTGGATGGAGATGCAGAGGTTCTATCATTCTGTCAGTATCCAGGTGGCACTAAAAGCAGAGATGCAGGCTTTCCAGCAGCTGCTAGGATGGATGCATACGGCTGGATTCAACCCTTTTTCACTCAGATTTGCCCAGATGTGCTGCACGTGTACAGTGCCCACTAGGATTAGGGAAAGCAGGGGCAACCAGCACCAGTTAATCACTCTCTGGTTTGCTGGGAGCCTGCCTTGCCTGAGCTGAATCTTGGGCTGGCTGTCTCACTGAGAGGTCCCTTGTCTCTGAAACCGCGATTAAGGCAAAAGCAGCACTGAGCCCTAGCACAGGGAGTTTCTGGTGTGCTGCCTTCCTGAAAAGAGAAACCCAGTACGCAACAACACTTTACAAAGAGAGGAAGACTGGGAATTAGGTAGGCATCTTCACCTTGATTTCAATAAGCAACCTGGAAAGCAAAAAGCAACAGAAGATGCAACAAAGATCCCCATATGAAATATAAGTAAATTGGGCCTTTCTCCTCCTATTTTTCTACTTCCTTCCTGCTGTAACTCTGCCCTCTCACTGTTGACAGGGAAAGAAAATTCAGCCTTATATTTGGGTATGTGGCACAGGCAGTATTTTATATGATGTGCTAACCCCTCCTTTGTCTCCTCATCCTTGGCCTCTGCAGGTGATCAGTCAGAATGAAGCAGACTACTTCTTTGACTCACTAAGGCAGGTGACAGACTGGAACAGAAGGAACAAGCCAGGAAAAGATGGTAAGGAGAATACCAGCATGACAAGAAGCTGCATGAGGTGTTGTGTTGAATTGAAAAGCAGCTGATCCATCCAGTAGGATTCACTCCATCTTGGGAAGTGTTTAGCAGAGTCTTGTATCTTTTTTGTTTGTACATACATTGTTAATGTCTGCACCAGCAGCAAGATCCAGTGACCTGATGCAGCCAAGCACCGGCTATCAAAAACACCTGAACATTTCTGGGGGGGATCTCTCCAGAAATTTTAAATTGGTACAGAAGATTTTTCTGCCCTGTTGTATCCAAAACACACAGCTGGATACATGTAAGTTAGATAGGTCGATCCTCAAGTACTAAGAATCAGCCAACACATGCAAATAGGTTCTTTACAGAGTGTCACTCACATTTTTTGAGTTGTTAGAAACTTTTTAACCAGGTTATTACCTGGTGATACCCAAACATGTTATATTGTCAAGAAACCATTTTGTTAGAATAAAACAATGAAATAATAATAACAACAGCAATTCCTTCCACTTAGCATCCCCCCTCCTCCCCTCCCACCCATAATATACATTTTGAAATCAATATCAAACTCTATATCAATTTGTCCTCACCTTTGCATATTTCAGGACAGCTGAGGTTCAACTCCCTGAAGCTCTGGCTATGTATCTAAGACCTTCTAACTTCTCTTCCCTCAGCTGATGTAGCTGCTAGGAGCTCTGAAAATCACAGTATAAAGATGCGGGTGCAATAAATCACAACTCATTTGTAGAAGCACAGCCATCAGGAGATGTATTTGCAACTGATTAACAGAATTTGGGTGTACTGCACACCAGCAGGCAACTGTCATGAGCACCAATAACACTCAATGGTAGTCCCTCAACTTCTACTCCATCTGATCATTGTATTAGCAGTGTCCAGGACCTGAAAACGGATAATTTCTTTTGCAATTTAAAATGGCTTTTTGTGTTGTTTTGTTAGCAATTTTGTTTGTTACTATTAAAACTATAATTACTTTTCTGAAGAAATTCACAAGCCATTTAAAAACTGTAGGACTATCAGTAACACAGAGAACACTAACAAGATCTGATCTCCTTAGGGGCTGCTCTGTCTGTGGCCTATGAGGTGTACTTCATGAGAAAGCTGTGGCTGAATGTCACTCCTGGCAAGGATCTGAAAGCTGATACCATTTTCCATTACCACCAGGTAAGCAGCTCCCTAAAGAAGAGCTATCATGTGTTACCTGAATTTCTTGTAAGAAATTAAGTCTGTAGGAGTATTACTGTCTCCCTCTTGAAAGCCTGCATTATAGAGCCTCCAGAAGAATACCTCCTCCAGAGGGGGCACAGCTCAGCCTCAGAACAGATTTCTCACAGGGTTCACAGCTTAGCAATACTGAACATGTTAAGAGTACAGCTCCTTTACCTCATTGTACTGTGGAATTGCTTGTCTTGCTCCATAAATCAGAGAATCACAGAAAGTTTCAGGTTGGAAAGGACCTTTAAAGATCATCCAGAGAACCTTCAGAAGGAGCTAGAAGTTCTTAGGATGTCCTTGGAATGCGTTTGGCAAGACTTGCATCCTGACCTCACACATTTAGAATGTTTAAGTCAGTGTTTGCTTTAGCCCATTCTGTCTGGATTCAGAGCTGGTCTCTTCCAGGAGCTGCCAAAGTACCTCAGAGGCTACCACAAGTGCTCCAAGGATGAAGCTGTGCAGCTGGCAGGGCTGATTTACAAAGCACGCTTCAACAACGACCGCACGCAGCTGGCAGCCATCCCCAAAATCCTGAAGGAGCTGGTGCCAGACAATCTGCTCCGAGCAGTGACACCTGATGAATGGAAGAAGGTAAGAACATCAGCTTTCATTAGGCATATTACATTTACAGAGCTTTAGTAGAGAAAACACACTGAGCCACACTACATTTTTGATCTGATGGTCTTTGAAAGTACCCTGGGGGGCTGGTATTGGGTATTGCTGGATTTGCCAGCAGGATAGCAAGAGGATTTACCTCTTACAATCCAGATTTACATACTCTATAAAAATTCTGCAAGTTATCTGCAGGCCTGGATTGCTTATCTTTCTTGGAGATACTAATCTATTTCTAGCACCCAGAAAAAGAGTTAGAGATAGGAGAGCCAGTGATGGGACTGGGAAGTTGAGGATATTGGACAGAAATAGAAAATTAAGATGTCTCATAAGTATTTCTTGCTAGCAAATCAATCTCCTTGCACCATGTCCATGCTACTTACAGCAAAAAGCTCTTTTATCCACAAAAAGGGCAAGGAGGTTTCAGCAGGTACTTACCACTTAGTCTGCTGAGAAAAACACAGGACATTCTTTCAAATACAAAGGGAAAATTCACCCTCCATTTTTCAGGCAAAGATGTAATTTGTGTCTGTGGGTGTTGAACACTGCCTTCCTGAGTTTTATCTCACGTTGCCCCTCTGCCCTGAAGTCATTTCCTCAGGCTGCTGGGCTTCCTTCACCCAGCAGAAGAGTAAGGAACACTGGAGGGTTCTGGCTTCACCTTGCCCCACGGCATAGCAGCTGTTTTAATTTTCAGTTTTCTGCTGCTGGGGCAAAAAACCTGACAGTGGTGATGAGCTGATGCTGTCTTTAGTGCTAAAGGCAGGCATTGGAAACCTGCTCGTCTCCAGCTCAGCTGGCTTTGTATTCTCTTTTCCTAAACAGAGCATTATTGCAGCATATAGTAAACATGAAGGAAAAACTGTGGATGAGGCCAAGATTGCTTTCTTGAAAATGATACACCGGTGGCCAACATTTGGATCAGCCTTTTTTGAGGTGAAGGTAGGTTTGAAGGCCTGTGTGAGTGGATTTGGTAGTAGATCAGTACCAAGGGATACAGACTGACTATAATCCCATATCTGAAAGTAAAAATATATTATAAAGATGAATTCCTGTAATCTGTAGAGGAAAACTCAGTTCCTTCCAAGTTGGGAGATGGATTCTTTATCCATTCTAAACTATGCTTGTTTTTTGCTGGCAATGTTGTTGCTCTAGTTATAATACCTCTACTACAATTGTGTAGTAGCTGCAGGGGGCTAAATTGTCCTGTCATTGCTCTCCACAAGAAAATGCTGCCAAATCTTATCTCTTTGGTGACTCTTCCCTCAGAGCAGAACAGTACACATCCTCTCATTCTAGAGGGGATATCACAAGAATAATTTCCATGTGTTACCTTTAATTTCTCCTCACTAGGCTCTTAAATGGTTTGCAATCAATCATTAAGGCTGTTATCAGCATAGTAAATAATGGACCTGGTTCTGCTGTAATGTAGCATTTGCTCAAGTCATCAGTATATGGCCAAAATGTTTGTGTTCATTTGGGAAAGAGAACAAGAATGACTGGACACTGTCAATGGTCACTAGGCCCCTGATAGAGATAATTTCTCAATTTTCTGCTTTTCTTGCTGTGTTACTCATTTAAAGCAAGCCTCGGAGCCCAATTTCCCAGAGATTGTACTGATTGCAATCAACAAGCAAGGAGTCTCACTGATACATCAGAAGACAAAGGTAACAGCTGCTTCTCACAAGTCCATCTAAGGAAGGATTGAACAGACCCTGCTAATTTAGGGACAGTGATAGGACCTTGCTCAGGAATGACAGGAGAAGATAGAGGCTCTCTAATAATTTTTTCTGTGTGAAACTGAAGGAAATGTTACTGTCTCAAATAACTTCTTTGCAGTTTCTACTCTGGAAAGGAATAGGATAGAGCATCTCTGAAAAAAGACATGGGAGTCATGGTAGACCTGGCAAAGTGTAAGATCAGGAAGATGGATGGGCAGTGCACCCAGGAACCTGCTTCAAAAAATGCTTTGCAGGAAGCCCCAGCTATCTAAGAGACCAGGCTGAATGGCCATGTTTAGCTGCAGTCTAACCCAAACAGTCTGGTCTTACCAAGGTCTCAGGAAAAGGGAGTATCACTATTTGCTTTCAATGACCAGACAAATTAAAAGATAGGTTTAGATGATTGTAAATCTAATGGCAGTGTGCTAAGGCAAAGATCAATATATAATGAAAGGGAGTCTTGTGTGTGATTAAGATTTACCTGTTTGGGGAAAATACAATATACCAATAATCTGGATGCAAGAAACACTTTGATCCATGATTTTTATAAACGAAGAGGGAAAGAACAAGAATTCTCTGGCTCTACAGGTTTTCTTATGTAACAGACTATTTTCATTTGAGAAATGTTCTACAGATCACTTTGTTTCCCCTTACAGGATATTTTAGTAGTTTACCCCTTCAATAAGATCTCCAACTGGAGCAGTGGGAGCACATATTTTCACATGACCATAGGGAACCTGGTACGAGGAACCAGGCTCTTATGTGAGACGTCTCTGGTAAGAAGAGTTTTGCCAATTAAGACACAACAATATCCTAATTTTTCCTTTCCAACCCTGATTGCTAAAAAAGATGGTGTGAAAACAGATAAATACCAGTGCAGCATTATACCAAAATAATTGTATCATATATACAATAATTATACCAATTATACCACAAATACCAAAAGCATTCACTGCTGTGTCAATAAACTGCCATTTAGAACTGGTTCAGTTCATATATAATGCTATCTATGCAAAGATGCATGACACAGGACACAAGGAAACATAGTAATTTCCCAAATTCTTCCCATACATCAAAATTCTACCATTTGAGAAGACTGCAAAGCTACATAGAAACTTTTTGTCTTACATGTCTGCCTCCAGTTATGTAGTAATGCCAGCCTTGTAAGACTTCATATTTTCCAGGGAGTTGCACCATCTTTTTAACAATTAGTTAAAATAGGTAACTAATAGCTTCAGACTATTCACAGTCTCAGAGAAGCATCACTGTATTAATATTTAAAGGTAGGTTTGGAAAGATAACAGATATTTAAAGGCTAAATACTCTGACAGAAAAGCTCAGATTCTTAAATACAAGAATCTTAAGTACAAGTCAAGCTGCAGAGTGAGTACCAAAGAGACAGCAGAGCTATGGTCTGTAAAGTCTTGGAAATCTATGAAAAGCAGAGGAAAGAATGGATAAATTATAACTAAAACAGGTCGTGGAAGAAAAGATGTTCATGTAAGGAAGAACCTGAGAAGATGATAAACAAGGGAGGAAATGATAGTTATTTTTGCTTCTGGAGCTCCCTGAGAGTTTTAAGACTGTTTTCTTCCCTGACAGGGTTACAAAATGGATGACCTGTTAACATCCTACGTACGCCTGCTCATGAATGCTGTAAACAAGCAAAAGAACCTCCCAGGCTGAAAGTGGAAATAGAGCCCATCACCTGTACTTGTGCCAAACTCCCTGTAACTTCATATCCCAGAAGAAATGCCATTTAAAAAATATGAATCTTGTTGATCGATCTTCTGATCACACACTGAGTGAACTGAGTTGCTGAAACACTACAGCAAGAGAAACTCAAGTGAGCATGTGCTTTCAAATATCTGTAACACTTCTATCTTAGATGTAGTATAAGAATTCCATTCAGATACTGGATTTACAGAAAGTTTAGATGGACTTTAATGTTCTGTGGGAGTGGGAAAACCCTGTGAGGGCCCCTTCTAATAGCCTCAATCTCCTCCATTCAGAGACAGACACACATGAAGAGCTGTCTTCCTTTTGGAAAGAAAATGCCCCTTTATTGTACACGCTCTTACCAAATGCACAAACTTCATGAGTCTTTGCAAACAAAGGTAATTTTTTTCCTCCTCTGGCAATTTTAAGAGTGGAGAAATGCCCTTTAGTAGTACATAACTGGACAGTTTGAAAGGTTAAGATGCTGTCCCCTGACTTACCAGAGCATTGCTTAAATTAGTCTTCTTTCTTCCACATGTTATAATGCTCTTGGAAACCAACAACTGCTTTCTACTGTGCAGTATCTAGTAAGCTCTGAAATGAGTCTGGGGTTTGGGCCCATCACTTTTAGTTGCTCCTATTTCAAGATATAGATGAGCTATTCAGTGCAAATTGGAATTTAAGAACTCAGTCTAACAGAGGTCTGTTGAAAAGAGACTTTTCTGCTCCACAAAAATGTTCTGTTTGGAGTTATGCAGACATTCCCTCACAAGACAAGAATAATAGCTTTAATTTGTCCTGATCTTTTCTGCTTCCTGTTTAGCAGACAGCTTGAGTGGTAAGATTTGATTCAGCACTTGTTCATTCCTAAGAGCTTTGTAGAAACACAGCTTTGGTGCCACAGGAACCAGAGTGTGCTCTGAGTGTGTAAAGCAGACACAAACTATGGTGGGAGCAAGCTTAGCTGCTTCCCCCTCAGATCAAGTACTCCTCCCTCACTCCCAGTGAAACATGAACATGTCTTAAAGCATTCACACCAAGTTCCTTGAGACACAATCTGGCAGTGCTGGAAAAGCAGCTCTGCCTGATCTCTCAACTTTGCCAATGGATGCACAATGGTTCTCTTGTTCCCTCAGACATGTGTGTGCAAAATTCAAACGCTGGTGGCAGTTTTGTATATGGGTGGCAGGGAAGAGCCCACTCTCTTTGTGCATCTAAGTGAGTGCCACACCTGTCAGAATAGCTGATCTTTTTGCAAGCAGTTAGATGCTCCTGCTGTAATGTCCATTGCTGGCAATGGAAATGCTGGAGTCTAATTACCCAGTGGTTTTGTCACCCAGTGTCTGATCTAACTAACTAGCTGTGAGAAATGTTCAACACTTCACCTGTATAAAGAGAAATCTTGCAGCCAAACTGTATTGTTTCTGGTTTTTAAATAAAGATGCAGAAAATCAACCACAATGTCTTTTTTGAACTGAGTGTTTGCTCCAGATCCAAAATCAACCCAATATCCATTATATCCTGGAAATGATCACAGTATCCCATCTGCTCATTACCTACACAACACAACTTGTACAACACAGCCACGAAAAGGGTGACACCCCTTTCTGCACATCCTCATCAGCCAACACATCACCACAGAAGCAGCACAGGTCCAAAACATGAATTCACCACAACAGTGCCTCAGGTTTCAGCAGTCCCAGAGTTCCTTGGAGTGGGTAAGTCTCTGGCTAAGCACTGAAAATATGGTATTAACTGTACACTATATACCATTTTTTTCTTTTTTTTTGTGTAAAGATTTAAAATGTATTACAGTTAACTTTAATACAAGAACATACAAAGGCACAGTATTACAGCATTTAATCTACAATCATGTGCTTTGATTAGACAGCTCAAATAATGTGTGATAAAGTGAGAGCTCTACATGGTGCAGAACCCATCAAGGCCTGAACCAAGGCAGGGAGCTGCCAATTCTTTGCTCATCTAATACCCTCAGCACTTAACAGTGCTTTACAGGCTAATATAACCATGTTTATTACACGCTTGCCTGCAATCTATTCCTTCCCCAACCAATCACTTCTGAAAGAATGCTAGTCATATCATCTAATACCAGCCATGCCACATCAGGAATTCTCTCTACGAAAGGCTGAGCAGCGTTTGCCAGCACTGCACAGACTGCTGTAAAAACACCAGGACACAAATCTGGAGAGAGGATTAGAGCCATAAAGAAACACTGCAAGTGATTAGCATACCCATAAAAACAAGCTTCACATACCATGCTTTCTAAAAGCAAAACCATTTTCAAGTGTACTCAGTGAGTGTTAGTGATTTTAATTAGGTATAAATACAAATTAGGTATAAATATGAACGTATAGTATGAGACATCTTCTATTAGGTGCAGATTTCTGAGCCAAGCCCAATCTTCATATAAATCTCTACTCTCCAGTGGGGTGATGCTTAGGAAGTATTTGGCCAGCAGGTCTATTCACAGCAATGGAAAAAAGCATGCAGTGTATTTCTTACTGACACCTTGACTATATTAATTAAAACAAAACTCAACCTGTCAGCCTACCAAGGCACTAAGGAGATCTTGTGAGTTTGCACTATATTCTACTTGGTTTTAAAAAAGTAGACTGACAGAAGTAGAGGAAGATGCATTTTTTTAAGCCATTTATAGTTATTTCTCCTACTCCTTCAACTCTGTTCTCACAAAAAAGGTGTGTTGGTAATATAAACTACTGTAACTCTGCACATTGCAGGCTATGGGCAGCAGAAGTATAAGAACAATTATTGTGAAAAATTAATAATGTAAGAGAATATCATCCTCCATTAGTACAGAGATCAGGGATTACAATTATTTTGTTCACCAATTAATTTTGCAAAACATCCTGAAGATAAGGACATATTCCAGATCCTAGAGAACTGAACAGCTTATCAAAGAGAATGGTATCAACTCTCCTTAGAACTCTGAAGCTTTCTAGGTCTGCCAAGTCTCTAACACAAGACAAGGTGAAAGCACACATTAAATCTTCACTGGCAGCACAGCAGTAATGCCATTCACATACATGCATTTTCCATTGCTGAATGTGAGTGGCTGCTGAAAGAATATTACCTATTGGCTGCTAGTTACATAGTCCTCCCATATTTACCAGGAATGTGTGGCTGTGTGTTCCTCCACCACTTCCCAGGAGGCTGGGCATACACAGCTGCTCAGATTCAGCATTAGACAGGGCCTGTGACTGAGATTACAGGAACAGACTGGAATGTTTTATGCTGAGAAGAATCTGCATAACATACTGAGCTGCACCTAGGTCAGAATTCAAGTATCTTATGCTGTGACAAAATGCCAAACAACAGGTTTGATTGTAAATGGGGGTCTTTGCAGGGCCACCCTACTTCACCAAAAGACATGCTGTTCTTTGCGCCCTTAACTCAAAGACCATTTTAAGGCTGGTGAGGAACAGTGAATACACATGTTCTCCTAATGCAATGACACAAGCAGCTACTGTTACTGGAATCTACTGTGCAAATTGGTCAGGAGAAGATGAAAGAGTTTACTGCTAAAATTAGGCCAACCTCTCAACATTGTTACAGTGGATGCAGCATAACCCAGTTAAAAGATTATGGTAACTTACGGCAACAAAAAAGCACAGCAGCTGATGGAAACTGAGTTAGCAAAGGCAGCGAAGCTCTAAGAGATGGTCTCACACATGGGATTCTGATCACTTATCCAGGATTTCCTACCACTGCTTTGGCATCACTGGTGCAGTTCCATGGGTGTTGATCCAGCAAGCATGGTAACACAATTCTAAGGCAGACTATTGCCCCAGTCCAAATGCTGCTCACACATACAAGAAATGGGGAAGCTATAACTTCTTGCTACCTAATTCAACTGTGGCTGCAGGGTGTTGTCTAGGCACAACTGCTGTGTTCATCTGACTAAACCAGCCACTTTTGGAAGATTTAAATCATGCAAAGGACAGTAGTCTTCCAGTGCTTGTCAGCCTTGCAAAGGGGCAGGCACAGTCTCACAACTGTTCATGGAACGGGATGTTCAGGTTGCTCAGCTTCAGCACAAGGAAGTATGGGGGTCACCTCTGGGGGACTCAGCAGCTCACTGGTCATACATCATGCAGGTGGGTTCAGGAACAGTACAGCTGATGGCTCACCTCTAAAGAAGTATTGAGAATATCCAAAACCAGTAAATTTCTCAGCACCTTGGGTTGTGATAGCAGAGATAGTAGGACCAGTGAAACCTCACTGGTGACAGACAAAATTACAGAGGAGGACTATACGCTTGAGATATTAGCATCATGTCTGAGATCCTCTCCTTAAGTAAACTCAAGTCTCCAAAAGAAAGATGAATGGGACTCTTATTCGGGAAAAAAAATTTAAGAAAAATGGGGTTTTTTTCTGCATAACACATTTGCTACAAACTGTAAACATTAGAAACACCTTCATGTAATTGAGCTTTCTGGAGCATGACCAAGAAGCATATCCTTGGCTGGCAAATAAAGTGAAAATGGGAAAAACTGAAGTGCTTAAATTGGTACTATATTATTTATCCAATTGCCTTAGGCAGAAGAGTAATCAATGCTCCAACCACACAGCCTCAATAAATACCAGCTATGCCAATGGACAAGACATGCTTTGTGTTGACCAGCCATGTAATAGTAGAGAACAGAGAAAATTAGTGTCATTTCTAATAAAATGTTTAGTTTCCCATAGCCACCTTCTCCTTAAGGAGAGCCCAACCATTCTGAAGAGGTTCACATGGCCTTGACAGCTGAAATCTCCTTAGTACTGAACACAGAAGCAGCAAAGGAAACTTCTTAGCTGCCTTAACACTGGGCCTGACTGGGCAGTACAGATGCCATAGCTACTGGATCCTGGGCTTGCCCAGTAAATCTACAAACAAGAAGGATTGGGATTTGGGATAGGGCACCCATATATTGTCTGTAGCAATCTGGAGAAAGACCAGAACTTTTTGCATGTAGTAAAGAATGACAACTTTCAGACTATTTGCCTAGATATTAAAAACCTAAAAATTGCTTCAGCCAGAGTAAGAAAAATTCTGATACTCTGATTGAGAAAGAGCAAATCTTACATTTCTTCCAGCCCTATATTTAACCACTTTTTCCTAATTCCTTAGACTAGACGAGTGGAAAGAGTAGTACAGCTCAATTGAGGAAGGAAAGATTGTGTACAGCTCCACAAAGGCAAAATGCAATGTTAGTAGCAAATTAATAATCAGCCTGTGCACTGCTCAAGCACAACTCATACTCCTCTTCCTGCCAGTGTTAATAGACAGTTGCTTGGGAAAAGGGACAGTCTAGATGCAAGAGACAGCACCAGAAGCAGGGGAAGGTACTGCTTATCTTTGGTTCCACTTCTTAGTAATTGCTTCTGTAATCAACAGCTGCAGTGAGCAGCAGCTTGTGTTAAGAGTGCAGTCAGGAGACTGACAGACCTGTTTGCTTTAAGCAGAGTTTAAATCTAAAGCTTTAGGATGGATCTTCTTGGATGCCAGCTCTGACAACTTCTTCAGACGTTTCTTCAGCTCCAGAGGGAATTTCTCATAGCACTTCTTGCACACAGGCTTCATGTCAAACTCCACAAATTTATTCCTTTAACACAAAGAACAGTTATTAAAATGGTATTTGCAAACTACATGCTTCACTAATTAAAATCTCCATGCATCTACATCACTGCTGTTGCAAGGGTTCTATGCCATTTATAAAACCACTCATTTCCTCATCTGGTGATGCAATATAGCGATTGGGTTCTTATCAGTGAACTGAGGTCTTTTGTATTGCTAGGTAGAAAAGGAGCAAGATTTTCCTATATATTTACATGTAGCAGTCTATAACAATAATTTTGTTACTGCAGAATACAAGTATCACTTCAGAGGTTCCCTTTGGGATGAATCAGAGCTCCTTCATATGGCCAGTGGAGCCAACCCAGCAGAGTAGGATAAGGATTTGAACCTGAGAAAGGAAAAATGTAAGACTGTTTTTTTTTCTGTCCCTCCTTCTAGATGCTTGAGGTAAATAGAACAGTATTTTGTTTTAAAATCTATGCAATAGCAAATACTGTCATTGAGAGGAGCAACCACAGTTAGGAGACATGGAGGCTGCATGTTTTTCAGGACAGGCAGTTCCTCGAAGTTTAGAGCCTTCCGTCTGTACTGCTGAATGAGCTCCCCTCTTACCCAACTTCCTTACAGCATAGATTAATGAAGGAAAATAGATCAGAGAGGATGCTGAGTGTCAGCTCCCTTTCAGTGCTGAAATCAGTGAAATTATAAGCACTTGACCCCACAGAGAAAAGGTATATTGGCCTTCAGAGAGGCAGAGACTCACAGCTCCTCCAGGCTGATACCCTGCCTTAGGGGCAAATGTCTCACATGACCCAAAATACAAACACTGACTTACTTCAGTGTGAGCTTGACATTGCAGGTGGAGCAGGAGAAGCAATTCACACACCAGGCCTTGTTAAGAGCTGATACCACTGCAAAAGCAAAAGCACCAAGTAAGAGGAAACTGATGGATTGTTTGAATTCAGATTTATATCCAAATTCAAATAAGGCCAGATGTGAAAACAAACACTGTTGTCTTGCAACTGTGGGACTGCAACAGCTGCACTAACAAATGAAACAAGGACAGCAACCCAAAGCAAGGAGAGAACAAATCTTACCATCTCCCTCTATCACGTGGCTGCAGTTGTAGCAGACATCTCCAAAGAGCTGCACAGAAAAAGAAATAAGAATACAAACTCATGTGGCTGACTACTCATGGTCCCCAAATCACACAGCTGGTGTGAACATTAAATACTAATAATCAAAGAATTCCCAGATACAGCAGTGGCCCCCAAATATACCAATTTAAATCTTCTGAATAACTTCTCATACACTTGCCAAATAGTCTACGTTCCTTTGGATCTCATACCACTAAACACTACAAAACCTTTTTTGTTGATGCCTCACACTCTAGCACTGTTACGGGATCTTAAAGTCCTGTGGAGAAGAAAGGATGAGTAGAGTATGATGCTGAGTGTAGACAAACATCTCCTGATGCTCAACTACAAACCCCAAAATAGAACTATTGCTAAAATACAGCTACTGTCAGAACAGCAACACTTACCTCTTATGAGAGAGTTATTTATCTGACAGAAGAAAATACCAAACCAAAACATTATTCAGTCGAATCACACCGAAAAAAACCAGGGTTTGATTGGTTTTTCTGTTTTGTTTTTTAATTAATCTACTTTCTATGTTTTAGACAACACAACAGTTGCCTCGTGCCCACAGAAAGAAGTAATTATGGAAGAAGCCCACACAAATACATTAGAAGTAAAATCACAGGGATTTTAATCTCAAGCCCTGGTCAGTGATTTTCTGTCAATGTCACAAATTAAAGTCAGCGTCCCCAACACACTTCTATTCTGTTTTCAGCATCACTTTTCTGCCAATAAAAACTCTTATTTTTCTGTTAAATCTGACTAATTTCTTAATATTTCATTGCATCTACAAATTCAGATTATGCAAAATCTGCACAGCTTTGCATATATAAAACATGAAAAAGGATTTGCCAGACACAACAAGTACCTACGTCACAGATGGCTGAACTTACCTGATTATAATGAGTCTCACAATAGGCCAGCCCTTTTTTTTCATAATGTCGGTGCCCCAAGAATGGCTTCTCACACTTGGCACAAACAAAATGCTGTAAAAGAAAAAAAAAACCCCAACATTCCATGGCAGGCAAAACAACTTCCCCATCACCAGATAAAAATATGGCAATAAATCCTAGCTCAATACGTGACACTTCATCACAGAACAATTTGGGCTGGAAGGGACCTTAAGGCTCTGATTCCAACCTGGCCTTGAACACTTTCAGGGATGGGGCAGCCACAGCTTCTCTGGGCAGCCTGTGCCAGGGCCTCAGCGCCTTACAGGGAAAAATTTCTTCCCAGTCTGTAACCTAAATCTACCTATTTTCATTTAAAGCTGTTACCTCTTAATGCTTTAACGAAGCACAGACAGGAGAAATCTTTATGGAACCAAAAAAAGAGGAGATATTTAGTCTATATATAGGAATTAAGAGTTGCATTAACGATAGGTGAAAGACCCGCTCAAAGGGCAATCATCTTGTGTCTATCCTGACAGACTTGTGGACTATTATCTTGCTTGTTCCAGGGAAGAGAAGCAGGAACATAAACATAGTTAGTATGACTACACCTCAAACAAGCAGCACCATCTCTCTCAGGCTGAGCCCTAGAAGGCATAAATGATTGGAACAAAGATGACTAAAAAGCTTCAGAGCAAGCTGTGATGAAAGTTATAGAAACAATGAACTGAAAAGGCTTAAAAAGCAAGAACTGCTCAGCTTCCAGTAAAATTTCCAACACTTATGTGCCTGGTAACTTGAACTGGAGAGGATATATCTAAGGACATCATAAAAAATATGTACATTTATTACATTTATTAAATGCTCTTCAGAGAGGCCTATTTTTCAAGGATCATTATGAATTTTAAAATTAAGCTATTACAGTTGTAAAAACAGCTTTCTTAGGAATCCTGATGGCCCTGCTGTAACTCATTCACTCACAAAAGGTGAGGACAATCCGAAGCATCAGCAACTGGGTTTAGTCTGAATTCATATATTACAGACCACTTGCATGTCTACAGCTTCCAAGCAGCACTAGTCCTCTTCACACGAGCTGTTGAAGGAAGTTTCAGGTTCAGAAGGCCTCACCTCGACGTGCCACTGCTTCCCCAGAGCGTTGACCACGCGGCCCTCGATGGGCCTGCGGCAGGCCCCGCAGATGGGGATGCCCATCTTGTCGTGGCAGGGCAGGCAGTACAGCTCCCCCTTCAGCTCCCGCGCCTCGGCCGTCAGCTCCTTCCTGCCAACACAAACCTGGGCTAAGGAAACTGAGGGAGACTCTGCAGTGCCCAGGAGGAGGTGTTGGAACACTAAACTTGAAAGTTAACTTGGGCAACACTCACACTACAAACGCAGTCATTTTAGCTAGTGAAATAGAGTTATTGTCAACTCACCTTTCTAAAATTGCTTCCTCAGTTCGCCAGACAAGAATGTATGTGGAACATCATGTCTGCAGACGGGTGCTCTCACAGACATACGAGGTGCACCCACATGGACACTCACGGTGTCATGATAAGTCTTGAGGTATCTCTGAATGGGTGAGCTCAGGTGCAAGAGCCATCCCAGCAGTGCTCAACACTGAGACATTTACTTGCACTGCTACCCATTCTGGGGCAGCACTGTGCCCAGTTCAAATGGCTTCATGGTAAGTAACTCAGGTCAGACAGGTATTGGCATGGCAATGGACAGTGCCACAAGACTGACACAGCTCATCAAGCCATCTTTTTTTTTTCTATCCAGGAATTCAATATGAAACTATTTTGGACAGCCTGGTAACTCCTATTTTTGGAAAACTCTACTATGGTAACCTGCATCACCTTTCAGATAAATTCATGCCAAGGAACTATTTTCACCTTCATTATAACCTATGTTAGAAGAAGAGAATATTGAACGGCAAAATAAAACTAAAATTCCTGTAGTTTTTCCAAACTTATTTCAATTTCTCCTCACACAATTCCTATTTGTTCAACAAAAACAATGTGAAGGCAGCAAAGTTTAGACCTTGGGAAGGACTGCACTGCTGACTCAACTGTTTGTCTCTCTCCTTTTCTATCAGAGTTTACAGTATGCCAACATACCCACAGTGGGTGCAGTTGAAGTGATCTGGATGGTAGGAATCATTCTTAAACATCAGAGGCTGCTCATCAATTATCAAGTGGCACTTCTGACAGATGTACTTGCCCAGTCCCTTGGCTTTTTCACGGTTGTGGCATGGCCTGCACAGGTGCCTGGTTGAACAAAGCAAAGGAAAGAGTTTAATATTTTCTTTCTCCTAAAACAACACATAATACGTACTGAGGAAGTACTTTATGTAACACAACTGTATTCTAAGGTCAGACTAAACACAATTCAGTTTGGTGTCCAGTGTTTCACACCAGTTGTACAGAGAAGAATGAGCATAAAGCAGTCACACTGTTGTATTTCTTTAGAAGACTACTCCAACATTCACTGATTTATGTGCCATCAGGGGAATCACTCAGTCATTCAACCTTCCAGATCTCTTCTGATAGCTGGGCAAGGAAAGGTGGCAGCACCCTCTATCTATAACTAATGGATCCAACCATAACAGAGGCATTACAGAGCACTGGGAGGGAGTCAAGAAGAGAATAAAATGTATCAAACCAAAGTGCATTGCTTGAATGCCTTTTACCATGGCTGGATTCCTTAGTCTTCAACATCTATGAAAAACAAGAGACTTCTTGTTGTCTACAAATTCCTTTTACTCCTAAGTCAAAGAAAATGAAGAACTATGCAATTTTATGTGGTGAAAGCAGCTGTATTCCTAGCACATGTTCTTGAACACATTACAAGTACACTTCTAAACAGGCATATAACCCAAATTTCTGGTAAAAAAGCTCAGGCAAAGGCATAAAAAAAACTTGTGAAGGCCAATGGAAGCCACCAGTTTTATCCCAATACTTCAGAGCTCTGAGGAGAAGCTGTTGCCTATTACCTATCGCTCTAGCTGCAACACTAGAATTTATGGTATAATTTATGGGAAGAATTTATGGTAAAAGAAAAATGACAGAATGACTTCTGTGGGTTGCTTTGTCCCAAAACCAACAAGTCTGCTTCATTCCTTTCAATGTATCACTATGTCAAACACTCACTGAGATTCAGAGGTCATTCTCAAAACACATGACACAAAAGAAGAAGTTCAAATGGAAAGGGCAGATGTATGGATTATGCAGCAGGTTCTTTACAGGACCTCTTCAAAAATTCTGCCCTGATGAATTATTTACCCTTAGGTCTGTGAAATGAGGATAAGAATACAACACATGTTGTTGTGAGGCCTCAAACATTTATGACTCTCAGCTGGCAGGTGCCTGACTAAGTGCTAAGTATCATTATTATTTTCTCCAAATCTGAGTCCTTCTGTCAGCAAGTGTCTCTGCCCAGGGCTGGAAGCACTGTTGGCCCAGACAGAGTCCAGAAAAAGCAGACAGCACCCCATTATGAAGGAACACACAGCTGTGCTCATCTCAGCATAAAGGCATCAATTTTACTCAGCACTGTCAAATGCAGAGTAATTATACAGGGCTGGACATGGGGACCCCGAAGCAAGAGTCCTGAAAGAGACCCCTCTCATTCATCTGAATGAGATGCCTTCAGCCATTTGCACTGATAAACCATTATCAACCCCCTCCCCACTCACAAACCCTCTGCCCTCCCACAGACCCTCTCTTTTGGAAGCCAAGGGAAGTGCTGGACAGGCTAAGCTGTTACCATAGCAGCCTCCCCTCTCCCTAACCCTCTCCCCCTCCCCCTCCTCACCATTATGGAATTATCCCATTCTGAAGTGTCCTGTTGTGTCTGTTAATACTAGATTTCCTCCAAACAATGCATCTCTCCACCCTCCTAAAATAATCAGGGGACTCCAAGGATCCTGTGTTTAGGGCTGGAGGTTCAGTAGCAGCCTTCAGTGAGCACCATGAACACTGGCATATTCATGCAGGATACTCATATCTACACCAGCAGCCCCAGTGCCAAGAGCTCAGCTGGGATGAAGACTGCTCCTCAGTGCTGGGGTGTCCTCTCCCCTGCTCTGCTGTGTGACTGAGCTGATAATGTGCTATCAGAGCGAGGAGGACACTATATAGAGGGGCTCCCCTCTCTGCACTCAGCAACTCCGCAACCGTGCACTCTCTTGGAATCATCTTGTTTGCTCTGCTGTTTCTACCTAGTTTGCTGACATCAGAAGGAGTCTGAGATATTCCCCAAAAGGACCCTGTACTTCACCCACAGGACAGCACTATAAAGAGGTAAGAGACCAACTTTTGTTAGTAGGAGCTTTAGGAGCGCTTTTTTTTTTTTTTAGGAGCTTTCCTGATGGCATTAGTTTTATCTGGTGCCAATGAGGAGCAGAACACATACTGAGGCAGATGAATATAATGGAAATGTCTGAATCTAAGAACAGACTGCATTTTCTAAACTTCCAAGAATAATTTCCTTGCCTTTATGTCACTCCTTCAAAACAAAAAAGGTTTTCAAACTTTTGTACCTAATGTATATCCATTTGTGCCAGTTGTATGGTATGTCTAGTGCTCTCTGACACTGCTATGACACTCACAATAACCAAGTATTTCAGCTGAAATACAGGCTCAGCAGAGAGTGATTTTTAGGAGAAAAACTTCAGTCAGAAAAGGACTGTTGCTAGTGAAGGGTACTTAGAGTGAAAGATAGGCACTCATTTGGCAAGATACTAAAGTAATAATCATAAAAACACACAAACCAGTATAATCATACCAGAAACTGCTCTGAGAGGAAGAAAAGGAATTTCTGACCTACCTCAAACCCTAACATAAAGGTCAGTGGGCAAACAAAAGCTCCAAACTAGCCAGGTAATTGTGTACAACGAGCTAAAGTTTTCTCCTGCTAGTTCTTTCATTAATGATAGATAGAGCAACTGCTGAAAGAGTGATTGCATTATGTCCACACTGCCAGCTTTGTGGATTGTTCTTTGCTTGTTTCTGAGCAGAAGAGAAACAGGGCATGAAATATGGTCAGTGTGCACGCATGTATTTCAAATGAGCAGTGACATCCCCATTTCAGCTCAGCCCTGGGAGGCCTGGGATAATGGCTCATTCCAGAACAGTGCTCTGTTCAGCAATACGTAAATCACTAAATAGTCACACAACATCAAGAGTGCAGTCCAAGCAGAAATTGTTGGATAATGAGCCAGACTCCTAAAGGAGTTTTCTGTCTGTGGAATGAAAGCCTCTTGCACCGTACAGCTTAACACAGACTAGACATTATAGGTTATTTGTGAAGGTTTCTAGTTTGCTCTTACATTTATACAGACTATAGGAATCTCAGTGATTTGTCTGTAAAAATAAAAAAACCTAAACACATTTATTTTAAATTTATAGGATAAGCCCAAGGAGAATAGGAGTGGAATTGCAAATAACTGCAAAGGGCTTTTAACACCTTCTAGAGAACACCTTCTTTTAACACTGTCAGAGAATTATTACTTTTCTACAGCTGTAGAATTTTGCTGAAAACATGTAAAGTCTAAAAATAAGCCCAACAATTTATTCTAGTGACATGTTAGCTTTTTTCTGAATCTACTCAAGTGCTACACCACTATTTTCACCCATTAACTAGAATTGCAAAAAAACCCATAAATTAGATAACAGCAGCTATCCTATGAAGGCCATCATTTGCAAAGACTGAAGCTATTTCAATTGCATCATTAGTTCTAAGCCTCTCTCTTCCTGACATTGACATGCTGGGCTTCCAGATTGCTCTGACGTTCTCCTTCCTACTCCAACCCACAGCATTTTGCACTGAAAGCATGTCTGTATAGAAATCCACAGCACACTCAATGCTGTCATCACTGAGGATAAAACTCTCAACTTTGAAGTCTTGCCTATTCTAAGTCTGGCACTGACATGCAGCTGAATCTGAATTTCCAAGATCTGCCTTAGGAAATCAACTCAAATGAATCAGTTCAGTGTATCATGCTGTTAAACCCCTAATAATTAGCTTTTAAACAGGGAAACGTCTGCTTACTCCTTCACTTTGGGAATGGATTTAAAGCATTATCATGAAGACAAGAGCCATCCCAGTCTGCTCCATCAGACAATCCTGGTTTCTGCTTTTTCAGCTGCTCCACCCAGCGTTTACTGCTTGCTCAGGTGTCTCAACCATGGACAGAGCAACATTTAGCCATAAGACTGTCCCTGGCAGGTGTGTATACAAAGATCACCTGATTTACACTTTTTGCAGATGAAAAGCATAATTAAACAATGGGCCTGACACGAGGAAAAAAAAGGGTTAACAGCTAGAACATGAGGTGATAAGCACCATCATAAATTAACAGCCAGTAAAAAGGCATGTGTTTCCCTTTTCTATCCAACAGAAAAATACATATTTAAACCAATTCCATCCAGGGAGGACATGTATGTGAGTCAATGTTACTACCCCATACAGATTTTAAACTCTTGGGTTCAAGAATACTTGCAGGTTTTACTTTGCAAGGGACAAATGCATAATAAAAACAAAAAATTGCAGTCTCCTCTGTAAACCTGTGACCTTCACACAAAAAAAATTCAGCAGGGTGTTTTTCTTTTGTATGTAAAAGCACAATTTCACAAGTATTTTTACAGATAAGAACAAAAAGGCTGTACAGTCTTCTTTGCACATGCAATTGCAAGTAATGGAAAGATAGCAACTTGCTATAAATACTCAAACCCAGAAGGGTATCCAGGCAATCAATGCATGAAGTAAGAAGGGCCCTCTGTGGCCACAGGAAGAACTTCCAATTTTCTGAATTTCATCCAGTTTCCCTACTGTTGACTTTTTCTCTTCAACTGTGAACCAAAGAGAAGTGACCCAGCACACTACTCTCCAGATATTCCAGTTTTCTGTTCACCTGAAAGTAACAGCAGCCAAACAGAAGATACTAAATTACCTTGGAATTTTCTTACTTCTTCCAACGTATTTGTTCATCCTTAATCCCATTTCAGTTCTCTATGATCCCAATATTTGTAGGCATCTGAACAATGAGTTCTGCTGGGGAGCTGGATGCAGTACATAATAGATGTATTTAAAGATGCATTGAATACTACGGAGAAATGGTCAGTACAAAATGCAAGCGTGAGCAAAATGGAGGTACTGCTGCACAGACTGTAACATTCTGAGGAATCCAAGTAATAGAGACAATGCTGGAGTTTCAGACCACCTGCATTTCCCTATCAACTATACCCACAGACAAGCAATGTATAAAAAGCCATGGGTAGGTGCTCAGAAAGCCCTATCACACTTCTTGTTGATTCTGTTCAGGACATTGCAAACAGAGACTGGCAAAGCTAAGACCAGTTTTGCTAAGCTTCTACTTGGAAAAGGCCCTGGATAAGCTGCAGTGGACCTCAGGCTTTTGAGGCAGGAAAAGAGAGAGCTGTGGTGGAAGATAAAAGCTGCAGGGAAGGATGACACTTTGAGAGGTGACTGACAGCACGGGCATTATTTAAAATTTTCCCTGGGTCAATTCAGTGTCAAAAGAGATGTTGCTATCCATCTGAAAAGTTTCCTGCTATATTGGAACTAGGTGTATTTGCCTTAAACACAGGTCTTTAAACTAAAATAACACTCAAAGTTTTTCAGGAACCCTATGTTTGTTTTTTTTTTAATAACAGCAATATTTGACCTTTTATCTCTTTTAAAAGCAAGACATATTCTAAGCTAGATCACCTTACAACAGATACCTGTGCTCAGAAAAGCTAACTTATCAGGAACTCCTCAGTCCTGAACCAGGCTTTCAAATTGAAGCATGGCAAATACTTTCTAGTTAGATATACAGAACTCACTCCTGCTCCTCTTAACCAGACACAAAAGCATCTCACTACCTAGTTACACAACTGACCTCAGCACAGGCTGGAGACAAACTCATCACCAGCTAGCCAGCTCTTCATTGGGGTTCCTTCCATGGGAATTACTGCTCTGGTAAACCCAGCTGAGCAGAGAGTATTCAGAATTCTAATCTCACATTTCAATTCAGACTGACCTGTTATACCAAACATCATACCAAACACTGATGCTAGCAAACAGGAGACATTGCTGACTTTCATGTGTGGGTTTTTCAGTCTTTTTGTTGTTTTTTTTTTCCTGTTTTATTTTCCACAAATCCAGGCTCTTCTGTAACATAATGTCTTAATTTTTTCACATTTAGGGCTTTTTCTTCTTCAGAACTGTGGGAAAAAATGAACGGGCCTGCAGCTTCGAGCCTGCTCCTCAACTGCTCAAATCAATCAAATTTCAGTTTGGAAACATCAGAGCAATGTGGCAAAGAGACACACCTAGAAAACATGGTTTTTGCCACTTTCTACTTTCTGGACTTCATCCTGGCTTTTGCTGGCAATGCCCTGGCTCTTTGGCTTTTCATCCGGGACCAAAAGTCAGGCACACCCGCCAACATTTTCCTGATGCATCTTGCTGTGGCTGACCTGTTCTTTGTGCTGGTACTCCCCACCCGCCTGGTGTACCATTTTTCTGGTAACCACTGGCCATTTGGTGAGATCCCATGCAGACTCACTGGCTTCCTTTTTTACCTGAACATGTATGCCAGTATCTACTTCCTGATGTGCATCAGTGTTGACCGTTTCCTGGCCATCGTGCACCCGGTGAAGTCCATCAAGCTCCGCAGGTCCCGCTATGCCCACCTGACGTGTGTCTTTCTGTGGGTCATCGTTGGGGTGGCCATGGCACCTCTGCTGCTCAGTGTGCAGACTGTCCAGATGAAAAACACAACTGTCTGCCTGCAGCTCTACAGAGAAAAGGCCTCACGCCACGCCCTCGTGTCCTTGGCAGTGGCATTCACCTTCCCCTTTGTGACTACTGTGACTTGCTACTTACTCATCATCCAGAGCCTGAAGAGTGGGAACAGAGTTGAGAAACACCTGAAGGAAAAAGCTGTCAAAATGATCATCATGGTCCTGATGATCTTTCTAATTTGCTTTGTACCTTACCACGTCAATAGGTACATTTATATTCTCCATTACAACGGGACCAAAGCTTCCTGTGAAACGCAGCGTCTCCTGGCCCTCAGCAACCGCATCACCTCCTGCCTCACCAGCCTCAACGGGGCCTTTGACCCCATCATGTATTTTTTTGTAGCTGAGAAATTCCGTGAGGCTTTGTGCAATCTGTTTTGTATCAAAAAGACCATAACGTTGCCTCAAACATACGAGGGCAAGACAAATGAAAGCTCACTAAGTGCTAAATCTGAACTGTGAACACGACTCTTGTCAGTGTCAGTGCTTCGTCTTAAGAACACTCTCTTCCACCAAAATCAGCTGAGAGCACAAATGTGCAGCAAGACAGTCCAACCAGAGTCAAACTCATCCTGAGAAGGGAAGTTCTGTAGTTTTTATGGGGCTGCCATTAACAAGAACCCCTCGACCATAGAGAACATGTGTGTTTGTATTGCTGAAACTGCAAACAGAAGGACAGTTCTTCCGGTTTCCAAGGAATGAAACTGAGGGTTGAGCACTTAGGAATAAGGAAGTGGACAGTGAGGGAAATGGACCCATGTATTTATTTTTTTTCAAAGAATTGAGTTCCCAAAGCACTCTGCACCAAGCTTATGGCCTTATTTAAAATTTTACATTGTGCCAACACAGAGATCCACACCTGAGATAGACCTGTCTGATGAAAAAACCTCCACATTTGCACATCTTGTCCAAGTTTCTGAATTCAAAGTGTTTATATGTAATAGAGAGAAAATTGGTACTAAATGGTGATAAGAAAACAAAAAGATCAGAATGAAGCAATAAACCCAGTCTGGACAGGAATTAAGACAGAAAAGACTCCTAGCTTTAAGATGGTTTACAGTTATTTTTTGTGACTTATCTAGCAAGACTATTCCTTCGCTATGGATATGTAGGGATTATTGTTATTCTCACTGATACAAATGGCATCCAGCAAAACATGCCTGGTACAATAAAAAGGGGAAAAAAAAGAACACACGAGTTTCCAATATTTACTAGAAGACCGCTTCAATGCTATGGATATAAGCATTATAGGTGAAATGACAGGTGAAATATATTGTTACAGAGATAGGTGTGTGTATCTCTGCTATGCTTTGGGAACGAGTTCCTTACCATTTGAGATGTAAGCATTATAGGTGAAATGACAGGTGAAATATATTGTTACAGAGATACACACACCTATCTCTCTGCTATGCTTTGGGAACGAGTTCTTTACCATTTGAGATCTGGTCCACAAATTACAAAATTAAACATACTTTATATTGTTTGAACTGCTTTTATCCCGACTGCTTTCCCAAAACACCCTAAGTGCTATTCCAACAGCCCATTCTAGCAAGATGAGATGTCAAAAGAAAATCAATTATGCCCAGCTTAAAAAACTAAGGCACAGAGGTTGCACGCAGTATGAAAAATAAGAGGGAGTTGAGAGGACTCCCTGCTGGACAGATACAAATAAGTGACCTTTTCTTCCTTCCTTCACCATTTAGTCAGTGAAAATATAAACTCTAGGAAACTACTAGGCTTTGTTCAGAACATATGAAAGCCTAAAGTTAACTCTGAATTGTGCAACACTGTCTGTTAACTGCTGGATTGTTTTACTTTCTTATAATGATATGCTTTTGTATAAGCTCTCTTTTGTATTTTTATTTCTTATTTCTGAATTAAATGCATTAATCAACTTCTAGGATTCATTTTGTATTTCTGTATTTAAAATGAATGATTTCCAAAGACCAGTGGAATCACAGGCTGAAAAGACTTTGCTGTAATCATTGTGTTATTCTTTCAGCCTTTTGCTACATCTTGATTTCCTGCTCAGCAGCTTACTTGATAAACAGCCTGCCTGAGATCATATAATCCCTTTTTCTCACTTGTTAGGCAGCCTTCTGCCTGAAATCCTTTTCTTTTCCAAAACACATTCACTAGCCACTAAAATTTGAGTTTCTTGTTGGAAACAAGAACATGTTTCATTGGATGAAGAACTCCTCAACAAGTTATTCCTAAACTAACTGACCACCCTCAGCATCTCACAGCTGTATCAATAACACACTGCTAAAACTTTCCGACCCCATGCTCCCTCTTACCTGCCAGCATTCTTCACAAAACCCAGGTCAGCAAGGGTTACGTCGCAGAGCTCACAGCGGAAGCATTCTGGGTGCCAGTTGTTGTTCATTGCCTTGATAACACGCCCAGTAATGAACTCACCTGCAAAAGGAAAGCATGGGATGCATGCAGAAAACAGTCTTATCAAAATCTACTGTCCTTCACAGTCCTTCCACTTTAATTCCATAATTACTAGTACAGTCTAACTTTGAAAAAACCCCAAATTATTCCCACAACCAGGATAACCCAAAATCACTGCCAGTATCATGCTTTGTTCTCACCCAGAGCTCCTGACTCCTTAAAACAACCCCAACAACCCCAGCCCAAGGCTGGATGTCCCAGCAACACTGCGAGCTTTGCACAGCCCTGCAGCTGTAAAGCCCTGCTGTGGATATTTGCCACTTCTTACCACATTCCCCGCAGCAAGGAGCAAACAGCATCTGGAAGTCATGCTCACAGTACTTCCTACCTTCAAACTGCAAACAAAACAAGAGAGAAGGAGTCCTCATGAATAACTGAACTACTTTTACATCCTGACAGTGCAGCATGATTTTCTATTGATATGACCATTTAGTCAAAGTCAGTCACATCTTCCAGTTCTAGCCCCCTACACACCTGTTTTTCAACTCCTAAAGGTTCTCATTAAAGAAATACCCACATATGGCTTCAGCCTCATGGTGAATTTGCACAGCTAAATCAATAGCAACGCTGCTACAAGACAGTAAAAATCCTGAACACCCCAATCCTTTTATTATAGTTGCCTTTAACTTCATTTTTGCTTTAGTTCAGTTCAAAACTACTATTCCTCTTACACGAGGCTAAAACTCATATCAAAAATAAAATACAGCAAGTTTAAACCAATGTGTTAATCAAAATATGTGCTTGTGCATATTCTGTAAAGAAACTCAACCTAGCTTTTAAATGGGTTCATTTATTTCAGTTGCCCAAGTGGAAGGGTTTAGTACAATATGTCTAAAAATAAAGACAAAAAACCACTTTTGTCTAATGAAATATCAAGGCCAAGTTAGACAGTGCTTTGAGCAACCTGGTCCAGTGGAAAGTGGCCCTGCGTGATGATTTGTAAGGCCCCTTCCAACCCAAACCATTTTGTGATTCTGTGATGATTAACAAAACACTTCTTATTTTCTTTTCGAAATGCATCTTACCCAAAGAGCAGCTTTTGCTGTTACCAAAGGAATACGTGAGAAGAAAAAAATGGAAAGTAAGTTGGAAGCTCCTCAAAAACATGGCAACAAATATTTAGGGCTAAGAAATTAAACACGCAAGAAAGCTGAGAATTCCTTGCATTTTACCAGAGCTCTTTTTCTTCTCTTCCAACCAGCCTGAGAACTCACCTCATAGAAGAGTCCCTCTGGGAACTGCCGGAAGCACTGAGCACAGACAAAGCAGCTCTCGTGGTAGAGCTCCCCATTGCTGTTCACAATCCTCTCGGCAGGGTCGAACCGCGCCTGGCAGCGCTCGCACACGGCGTTCGCCAGAGCATCAGACATATTACTGCAATAAAGACAAGAGCATTTACAAACACAACATTCCAGCTGCTTTCAACTCCCTTCTACGTGAAAAACAAAAAGATCAATGAGTCACTGACATCAGTTAGAAATAAGGTTCTGACAACTCATACGTGGCAGATGAGGTCAAGTAGTAGATGTACCTATTGCACACTTTTGGCTACTTCACTAAAATTTCACCCCACTACATCAACCTGCTAATAGCTCACAGCAAATACCCACAATTTTTCACAAACCAGCAGTTTGGAGAGCAGCAAACCCAATGATCCTGACTTCTTGGGCCTTCTGGTCTCAGGATGTGGATTTTCTGACGTGTAACAAGCACTGATATCCCACTGCACTCTCCCCTGCACTGTCAGCAGTAACAAGCCATTTCCCCCTCTACAGCCCCTTGTCCTCCTGAAAAATGAGTTCAAACTGCCAAAGTGTTACAAAGCTATGGACAGGGAGAAGTCCCTCTAGCTGTCATGGCCAACACCTCAGCTTCATTTCCTCAGAACATGAGGCTAAACCCTGCCCCAAGCCACACTTTAAAAATCACATAACATTTCCTCAATCTACCCTAAAATAAGGAATCACCCTAACCTCTTCCACAAAGTTTTCATGCTTCCCAGCACGCTAATGTAAGTTAATGCAGTTTTAAAATGTATGTCACATGCACAAACCAGGAGGGAAAAATTATCAGGTACGTCTCAGTTTCTTGTTGCAGTGTGATCTTTCTTTTAACCACCACACTATCCAAGAGCATAAAACCTCAATATTATTACACCTTTAGTTATAGAAAAAATGGTTTATGCCTTCTGGACACCTTTTGAATTCCATCATTGGAAAGAGTGCAATTTTATAGGCAGAAGTATAAAAAATTGCTACCATGTTAAAAAAATCTCCAAACTACTTGTGTAGTATTTTTCCTGAGGTAGGTAATGTATGCATAAAATGAAAGACAGCTTGCTTTACAAGGCTTTTTTCTTTCTTTTTAGATTCAAAGTTACTCTGAACAGATTTTCCACTATTAATGTTACTCAATAACCCAACGTGCTACTTTCCACACCTCCTCATGGAGAACAGTAATTCAAGAAGCTTTTCCAAGAGCAGAAGATTCTCTTTCCTCTGGTCAGAGACATGCTCCCCAAAACCAGGCCAGTGTCCATATTCCAGGGCTTTGTGCCCTGAGCACAGCTGGAATGAGCAGGGAGCAGCCTCACACTCCTGAGGCAGCACAGCCAGCCCCGACTCCAGCTGGCTGAGCTGAGCCAAGTGTCTTTCCTCTGCAGAGGGGACACCTAGGGCCCATCCTAGGCTGTGACCTAGAGCCACCCCTCAGTAAAACCGCTTTCTTTCTAGGCTGCAATTCCAAGGGGGGCAACAACCAAGACAGAGCACAATAGTTTCAAGAATGGACTACCAATTTAGCAAAAATTTGTTACAGCTTGTTTCCTTCTTGCAGTATAAAGGATACATTAAAAAAACAGACATGGACTGGAATTAGGGACAAGAGGAAATCCTGTAATTTCATAAACTAGAGATCATAGGCTAAAGAAATATTTTTTATCCTGACACAATACCAAGGGAATAGGTCAGCACAAAAGCATCAGTGTTTGCAGCAAAGCCAACACCTAATCAGCTTGGTTTTCAGTCACCACTCTTCCAGCTACAACACACAAATCTGTACCAGGACTTGAAAATATAATCTTCCCTTCAAGTATTTTTTCCCTGTTGAAAAATTCAGTTCCTAAATTTCAAGACTTGAGCTAGCCAACAGCCAAGATTAATAAAGACTGATGTCATCATAATGAAATATCTCCTCTAGGAAAAAAAAAACAGGTAAATCAGCAAGTACTACATGTTAGATACTAACAGCAAAAGCACCATCTTGTGTTTGTGGGTTTTTCCCTTTATAAACATGAAGTCAACATTTTAAAAAAACTTAATTTTCTTTCTTTTTTTTTTTTCTCCAAAGGGATCACCAGTGCCAGTATCAACATGCAGGGTGAACTCGGCTACAGCAGCCACCTCCACAACAGCATTTCGCAACAGCTCAAGCCTGCAACCTACACAGCCACGTTCCTGCATGAAATGCAGGGCAGCTGTGACCCTGCACACCAGGCACTGAAATGCAGGGCAGCTGTGACCCTGCACACCAGGCACTGAAATGCAGGGCAGCTGTGACCCTGCACACCAGGCACCCCAGGAGGGATTCCCACACAAGTCCCACGGCTGTCTTGGTAAGGAAAATAATGATGACACAGGGACTTCCCTGATGTTGATGCTGCTGCTGACAAGATTTCCTCAAAGGCATAAGAAAGATGATCATGATACAGTCTGAGCTGTCCCCACAAATGAGCTAATAAGTGTGACTCATTATGCAGATGAGAGAAACTATTAGTCCAGGAAAATATAAATGAAAGAACCAGTATTAAAAAAAACAACAACAAAAACCAAAAAACAACTCAGTTCTCTGCCTCAGCTGAAACTTTTGGGAAGAGTCAGAGTACAGGAGTCAAGTGAACCACATCAGCTCCTGACCAATGTATCTCCTGTAATGCAAATCAGCAGCTCTGACTCTTTGACAATCCACACCAAGAGGTTTTGCATCTTTGTTCGTTTTCCATTTTTAACTCTGCATCCGTTTTCACTTAAGACATTTTATTGTTTTGCACTCAAGCTACAATCTGCCACTTCAGCATTACCCTAAAGATATGACTTTGCATTTATTCAAAGGTTTTACTTCAATATTTGCCAATTTCTTAATTTCCTCTGAGTACACACCCCTCCATGCCCTCTTGTTTATACAAAACCAAGCATTTTTTCAACTAGCTCAAGGTTAAAATTAACCAAAGCTGGAAGGAAGAGGGAGCACCTTGCTAATTCACAGCAATTTTATGGTTCAGTTTACTACACTGCTGCAAAAGCACTTCTGCTGGCAGCATAGGGAAAGGAAGAGTAACACCACAACCATCCTTTTGAAAAGTTTGACTTGCTGTGCCACTCATCAGATATGTACACCCAAATCTTTCCCACAAAGGACAATCCCCAATATAAAGTGCTTCTTCTATTCTGTTTGCTCACTGATTTTTTGCTATTCAGTAAAATAAAGAATCTTCCTCTGTTTTAACAATAAACTGGTGACACAAAGACAGGAAAGGCTGTTAAAACACGATGAGATCAGCATCCTGAAGTTATCCTGTCCTGCACAAACCCAAAAAATACCAGCATTGAAACAATGCTTTCCCAAATCTCTCATCATTATGTGTTGTATCTTTAACAGATTATCTTTGACAAAGTACCTGATTTACAGAAATTATATTTTTACCATTATAACTAAGTTTCCCATGTTTTGAGTTCTCAAAAGTATTTACTCTAAAGTACCAACATAGGTCTCGAATGAAAGAAAAAAAACCACAAAACCAACAACAAAAAAAAAAAAAAAAAAAACAAAAAAAAAAAAAAAAAAAAAAAAGAGAAACAAAAATTCCTTCTTTAAAAGAAGTGTACAGTATCTAGGAGATCCATTCTGTGCCACAGGTACAAACACTACTGGAATATTTGGAAGCATTTTACCTCCTTCTATCACTGAAGTCAATATTACCTCTGTTTGAAAACATTTGTTCACAGGGATCTACCACGGATGACAGGTTAAGGAAAAAGAAGCAAATATAATAATTCTACTGCTAAGACATTAGAAGAGGAGCTCAAGCCTTCACCATCACACTTGCAGATTTCATTATCTTAAATGTGGCTACAAGACAAAATGAACCAGACAACTGGACAATCAGGAGAACAGATGAACAGTCTCAGATTTTGCCTCAGAAGGAAAGGAACTGCAAGAGTGAGGAATGCTTCTGCCAGAACAGCCCAGTCAAAAAAAAGCTTTCTTTAACTCGTTTCAAAAGCTTTTTAGTTTTAGTGTCACATAGAGTTCTTCTTCATCACAATGCTGAATGAAGAATTGTTTTAATAGTGACCCCAAACCTTGCAGATACTACAAAAAGAAAGCAAGACAATACTTTGAGATACAAGAACCCAGGGCATTATCCAAACCTCAGCAGAGAGCAAAACCTATGCTGGGGAACCCTAAAAATGTGTTTTCTGCTCATTCTGGTCTACCAGTAGGAGCAAGTGTATACAGAAAATATCATAATATGATTGCATTTCTAGCATGCATGCACAGACAGATATGATAAACTGGAAGAGCTATCACCACTTGTTGGTGCCACAGACATCAGCAGCCAAGGCAAAGATGAGAGCACTCCAGGAGAGGGGCTGGTTCCCATCCCCAGCACAGCTGAGAATTAGTAACTTGAAGTCCTCAATGTTGACAAAGATACAAATGAAATCTGCTAGGACAATACCAGACTTTATGATTAATTTCACAGATGATGACTAATGCAAAGACAAAAGAAAGAGGAAGGGTGTCAGTTCATGAACTAGTGCTGAAAAACAGCCCCCAACTACCCTTATCATTCCAAAAATCTCTTCGCTGCAATTGACTTATCTGGATAACTTTCCCAAACTGAATTAACTTCTTTACTATGGTTATTACTAAACTTGTCACAAAATGTTGGAAAAAAATATTTCTCGTTTGTTTAATGCATGATTTGTTGTGTATTTGGTAAACTATATGCATAGCTTAACATTTTCAGCATTTCTCCTTATGCTTGCATGGAAGTTTCAGTTCATGCCAAATATTTTTTCACTGACTAAATAAGAAATGAATAGTGTTTCTCTCAGTATACCTTCCTTGATCATGCAGCCCCCAAACTTTCTGTGAAATAAAACATGTTTCTTTCCTATTTAGAACGCAGAATTTAGAAAATTAACGAAAATTAAGAAAAACGTACAAATGCAACTTATGGTCACAATATGGAAATCTCTCCTTGGGCCTACCAGCAACAGTAATTTGCAATTGAGTAGAAACTGGAGGGGTAAAAAAAAAAAAAAAAGGCACATATCGCAGCCGAGGCCAGAGTACAAGGTCTGCATGGT